TTTGGCCATAAATATACAGTCAATTCACTTTACAGTATATTCTGTGAAGCGCTTTGAGATGTCTAGAAGATGTGAAAAGGGCTCTATCAAATGCAAGGATTATTATTATCCTTTCCTTTCAGTCCTATTTGGCTGCCAGTTCCCCATACCCCTCTAATTTACTTTTTAGATGCTTATCTAGTTCCAATGTGTAGTGACTTTGTGTTTTCTAAATAAACATGGAAGCCAATTTGCACACTACACTACACTCCCAAGCCAAGGGCAAGTCCATAACAGCATTTAAAAGAGAAATTGATAAATACTTGAAGAAAATAAAAATAATAGGTGTAAAATTAGGAGAATGGAATTAGAGTAGATACGACTCAAGTACCATAACAGGCCCAATGGGTTAAATTATCTTATTCTATGCCTAAACTTTTTATTATTCTATATTCTATAAGACCTTGAAATGCCACCTGGGTCTAGATTGCCTGTAATTTATCTAGCATCTTAGAGTGACTAGAATTTGGAAAATGGGTTTCAAAATTAAGACTGTATTTAAGAATTTGTCAAATTCTGGATGTTCTGCAATGCTGCATAAATAAATACACCTCGATCCAGAGGAATTTCTACTAGCTGATGATATATTTCAGCCATTAAGATGTGAGTTGATCGAATAAGCGCCTTGCGTATGTGCAAGGAATACTGGTGCATATGTTTAAAAGAGAAAGGAGTTTCTCCCAGAGTTCTGGCCAACAATTCCCCCAAATAATTCACTTCATGGCTGTTTGTGGTACATTTCTGCGCTCAGATTAGCCACCGCTTTTGCGTACAGTACACTTTCCAGTAAATCCTATGAAGTGCTTTGAGATGTCCTTCTATTGGCAGGCCTTCAAGCTTTCTGTCCCTGACCCTCTGAAACTCCATCCCGGAATCCCTCTCCCTCACCCGCTTAGCTCCTTCAAGGCCCGTCTTAAGACCTTTATCTTTGACCATGCCTTCGGACATCATCCAACCCTCATCCCTCTTGCCTTCCACCCTCTCTTGATATCAACTCCTTGCTCGGGTGCAAACCCTTGACTGTTCAGCGCCTTGGGACGTCCTCCCAATGTGAAAGGCGGAGTTACATTGCGGCAACAATTCAATTTATTCCATGACTTTCAAAACGAATATCCAAATAACATCCCTTACATCCAGTCCAGATTCACTGGAGATCTGTGGAATAGAAAGGAAAATTATTACAATTTGAAGAGGTAGGAACAAAAAAAACTAACAACTTGCATTGATATAGTGCCCTTCAAGTGTTTTTAACAAAATGGGTGAAAAATAAAGGACTCCCTCTTTCCCACAATTCTTGGAGCTAACATAAGGAATGATCTTCAGTTAGCTGGTAAGATATATTTATTTCACACAAACCCTCATTTTGTTATTCAGTTTCCCTTCAAGAGAATAGTACCAGCTACACCAACTGCACCTCTAGGTGGAGCTCTACAACAGGGGATTCCCCTCTCTGCAACTGCAACTGTATCTCCTCCCCTTTACTTGAAATATTCCCAACATAACATTACTACTTTCTTACCTATAGTTTAATCAAGTGTTTTTATGTTTTGCATCACACACACATATGTTAAAGACGTTAAGCAATACAGGATCAAATCTGTCCAATACATATTATTGTATAGTCTATGACTTAAGGTATATTACGATTTTATGATTTTGCGTGGCTTTATTTAGAGGTTAGAAATTGGAAAGATAAGAGGACTATGCTATTCCAGGACAACTTGCATACATAAAGATACAGTTGCATAAGGGCTGAACATGGGACAGGGAAGGTGGAGGGCAGAGAGGGCAGGGTGGTGGCCGAAGGCATGGTCGAAGAGGAGAGTCTTGAGGCCTGTCTTAAAGGAGGCAAGGGAGGAGCGAGGCAAAGGGAATGTGGGATGGAGTTCCAGAGGGTGGGGGCAGAGAAGCTGAAGGCCCGACCATTGATGGTGGTGTGGGCTGGGCAGGGGATATGAAGCAGGCCACAGTCTGCTGAGCGACGGAAATGGACAGGTCGATATGGGGTTAGCAGGTTGGAGCGTAGGAGGAGGCAAAGCCATGGAGGTGAAGACGAGAATTTTGAACTTGATCACCTGAGGAATGGGGAGCCAGTGGAGCCGGGCGAGGGTGGGTGGAATGTGCCTGTTGCGGGAGAGGACACGTGCTGCAGAGTTCTGGATGATCTCAGTAGCACTCTCACCTCTGTTGGAAGTTTTGGGTTCAAGCCCTGGGTTGGGCATTTGTATCCAGACTTGGCTGACATGCCAGTGCAATGTTGGGGGAGTATTGCATTGTCAGAGATTCTATCTTTTGGGTGAAGTGTTAAACTGAGGTCCCATCTGCCTGTTCCGGGGGATGTTAAAGATCCATGGCATTATTTTGAACAGAAAAAACGCTCCAGAAGTTTCATTAACTCTTTTAAACAAAGATGATCGAAGGCGCAGTTAAATAGGAAGATGGGCCTTAAAGGAAGTCGAGGGAAGCGGTGAGATGGAGGGACTCCAGGATGGGGTTGTTTCAGAGAGTAGGGGTAGAAAGGTTGAAGGCCCGACTGCTGATGGTGGGGTGGGCAGTGTGGGGTATATGAAGCAGACCAGTACCTGCTGAGCGGAGGGAGCGGGCGTGTTAGCAGAGTTTCAGAGGGAAGGGTGGGGCAAGTCTGGATGGATTTAAAAGTGAGGAGCAAGTCTTGAAATCAATTCTCTGGGAGATGGGGAACCAGTGGAGCCGGATGAGGATGAGGGTGGTAGGCTCGCGGAGCCTGGTGTGGGAGAGGATATGAGCTGCAGTGTCAGCTCACCAGACGCTCTCCATTCTGCTCGCCTGATTGTGAAGGTCAAGCCTTCTCTTGCACCAAGCTATTTTTCAAAGAGTCGAGTGACCTGACCCCAACCAGCCTTTCCAACAACCTGTTCCAATTGTTAATTACCCTTTGGGTAAAGAAAAACTAAATCTGCATTGTCTTGTTCTACTGTCTTGGCACAGCCTAAAATATTATTTGGGGTTTACTTTGCAATTGCGTTTTTTAAATATTATACATCTTCATAAGGTCCCTCTGAGTTCCAGTATCAGAGTACCGGTGGCTATGTCTTCAATTCTTATCCTCTTCACCATTGGAATTCCCTCCCTCCTGTCCCTTCTCGTTCTGCCTTTAAGTCTCTGATCTAATCTCCTTGAACACACTTGTAGCCACCTCCCAATTGCTTGGCACCCCTGTGAATTGCTTCAAGACATTATCCTACAAGAAGGATGCGATATAAATGGAAATTGTTGTTGTTTTCCCCATACTAATGTTATACTTTCAGGGCTGTTATTTTAAATACATCCAACTCCACCTTAACAAATGTATCTTTCTACTCCCTGTACCTATTTTCTGGCCAGTAAACTGAACAGTGATGGAAATGATGGCCTCAGTATTGTGTTGAGCTCTGCAGATCACTAAGAAGCAAGATCAGTTGATTGAGAGATGGTGTTACGGTTAAATTCCAGTTTTGGATGAAGGATGCACACTCAAAAAGGATTTCTGTTGCTGACCCCTATCAGGTAATCACTCCTGAGAACTGTGAACTATTTAGTTGTAGACTGCAATCCGTATATCTATGATGGATGCATCTGACATTTCAAATGCCCTACCAATATGAAGTCTAAACTTTTCAGATGATGAATGATCACTGGAGCATGGTCCTCCAGAGCAGCCAGTGACTACTCCAGGTCCATAACGTGCTTCATGGTAGCCTCGATTCATTTATAGCAGAAGTAGGTTTTAATAATAAGAAAAATCCTTGCATTTGATATAGCGCCTTATCACGTCATTGAGTCGTCTCAAAGCGCTTCACAGGGTATATCAATAATCCTTGCATTTGATATAGCACCTTATCACATCATTGAGACGTCTCAAAGCACAACACACATATACTGTAAAGTGAATTGACTATATTTTGTGGGCAAAATGCGGCAGCCAATTGCACACAGCAGCGTCCCACAAACAGTCATGGATGGTGTCCAGATTTTCTTTTGATAATAGTGTAAAGTGGATTGACTGTATTGTGTTTTGGACCGCATTCACTATGCCTATATGGTTGGCTGGATGGCTTGGGTTCCACATACAGAGCTGTTGCCGTGCTAAAAATGGCCAACTTTCAGGTTATTAGGTCACCGCCGATATCACTTCCTGTGTACTGCACATGTGCATTCACAAGAAGTGATGTCAGTGGCAACCTGATAACGCAGAGGTTGGCCGTTTTCCTGCAGCACAGGAACTGAAGTAGGCAAGTCACAGATGTGCAGTGAAACTGGCTATCGCAAATCTGTTATAATGTGGTTTGGCAACTAACGCCTCATAACGAGGCTCCACTCTACATTCTCAGCACGTGTAAGCACCTTTAAGAAATTTTTTTGCTGTAGACCTTTAAAACTGTTGAAAAAGCTGATAAAAATATTAAACCAAGTAAATCTTAGTGTAATGACAAAATGTAAGGAATCTCTAATCTAGATATAGGAGCTCAGTGCACCAGTCTCAGTTGCTTGTGTGACATACCCCAAGGATAATGGTAGTGATTCTGTAATGGTTGGCAAATTCTCCAAGCTTGATGTCTGAATTTACGAAGAGGAAAATAATCTCCAACTAAGGTTGGTAAGTGTAGCAAACAGCAGGAGTACGGTGAGCTCACTTGCCACAGTTGGTAAATTTAGCAGTGATCGGGGATCAGTCTAAGAACCACTCAATCGTTTAAGTCAGTAAACTTGCACATAGGTAAAGGTTGCAGTTTTCCCACCCTGCAATCTTTTTGTGTAGATTTTTTTTTGAAGGGATTATTACGCCCAGAAAAGCAATCACCAACCCACTAACAACTAGATTCCTACTTACTGCTAGGTAAACAGATGCGTGTGAGGAAACTTGCCTAACGTTTCATACCGCCTGAAAATTGAACCCAGGTCCTCTATTTAATTTTATTTCACAGAAAAACACCAAAAGGCAGTTAGTTTTCCACAATTTATTATCAATGCGAAAGTAAGTGTATGCGAATGGCAGTTTCATTAAAAAAAACTTTCAGGACCATTGCATCACATAAAGAGAACTTTAGAAAGTCTTTGTCAAGTTATGCAAAGTTTTGGTTCTAAAAATTCAGTGGGTCCCCTTTTAATGAAAAATAAATCCACACAATTTACAATTAAAAATGTCACTGTTAAGACATGTTCATGTATTCAGACCCAAACAACATAGCAAACGAAAACTTCATTCATACCAGGTTTGCATTTTGGTACGTTTGGTGAAATGTTTAAATTCAGTGGAAAGAATAAATTTAAGAATAAAACCCCGATCAGTAGTTTGTACATAATTGTCAGGGTACATCAGTGTCGAAGCAAGTAGTAACACACTTGAACAGCACTAAAATTTGGGAAACAAATGCACAAAATATCTACAAAACCTAGTTTGAACTATTTAAATCAGAACTGTACATTACATTTACAGAAAGAAAAAACTGCAGGACTGGATGGGGAGGAAAGAATCTTTAAGAAATTAACCTCTGTATTATTAGAACTATATAAATACAGACCAAGATACCACACTGAAAAGGTGTTTTGCTGCTATAATGCCAAATATTAAAATCCTTCCATACTTTGCACATTGATATTGATACAAAAACTATGTTCTGAAATGGCACAGTCAATGTAAATATATGTTTGCCAGTTCTAGTAGTCCAGGTGAACAAAACTGCTGATGTGTTGGAACATGCTGTATGATCTACTCCAGCCATGCTGAAATCAGCTCATCAACAAAGCTTGGCAAACCAACAGTGAGTACAGGTGAATTATAGAAGCTTGTAGCAGGGAGCAGTTCAGTTAAAGCTCAGGCACTTTAATTTTTTCTTACACCATCAGACTTCTGTGTGCTGCTGAGAATCCAGTGGAGGAATAGTCACGTCTTCAAAGTGGCCTTCATCCCCACTTTCATAGTCACTCATCATGACTTCGGATTCTTCCATTTCACAGCATGCTGAAACATCAGAGCAAGAGGCGGTTGTGGATGTATACACAGACATAGACATGTTGTCCACACTAGGTGGTTCAAAGTCACCATTGTATGTTAACGTGTAGGGTGGGTAGTCCCCCCTGTAACTGCTTCCAACAGGGATTGCAATCTGAGGTTCCGAGAGATCGGCTGAATAGTGGTGATGGGGTAGATATTGATTCATGTTGAAACGTTGCCTGTTTTGTGCTGCTGAACTCTGGCTTCCAGCAGTGGGCATATCCCGAGGAGGCTGTATGGACTCAAACTGGTCATTGTACTCTGGTGGCAAAGGTGGGAGCTCATCATGAATTGAGAAATCATCCGGAGGAGGCGGAAAATCACTTTCAATGTCATATCCTCCAGGGTAGTAGTCTGTGTCGATGGTGTTAGGATCTGAATAAAGTGGGGCTGGGTTTTCTACTACCTCATATTGGGGGAACTCCTGGATACCTGGTAGCTGAATGCTAGGCATCCAATCAGATGTATCCCAGTGATATGCTGTTGTATAGAAAAGGAAGAACACACATTAGAATTTCCCAGATCGAACTTAAGCTTTGTATTGATGAAGATCACAAGTACAATAAAAGCAATCTGAATAAAGGTAGTGTATGTTAGTGCTGACTGAACGCTTTACAGATGCAACAGGACACCACTGGGGTGGGCAATATCCTCCCTATTACCAATTTCAGAGGCAAAAAGTATTACACACTTTCAAATGAAAATTTTAAAAGCATGTCAACTGCCAGTTGGCACACTCAGCTGTGGAAAACATTTACTAGTTTTTAAACGAATAGGAAATATTATACTGGATATATTGTAAATTCAATTCAACATGTGCTTTCCTATTACATGCTGCTGATATTCTGGTTTTTGTGTTTGAATTCACACTGCTTGAATAAGGCTTAACTTTTATATTGTCTACCCCACATATTAATGACACACTGGGCACGTGAATGAAAGATTAACACTTGTAACTTTCTTGCAGATATGCATGTTAACTTGCAGTGAAGGTTAAAGTGACAGATTAGCAAACAGCATCAAGTGAGTTTGGAAGAATAACAGAAGGCATGCAGTCAAAAGTCACCTCTTGGATTCCTGAGGTCATGACCCGCAAAAGGTTCTTTAGATGGCAAAAAGCAGAAAAGGGAGGAAGAAAACATGGAATATTAAAGCATCAAGATTTTAAAAGAATTGTTTACACAAACATTCCACGTATTTGCTTACAACAAATATTGAAAAGCCTGCTTGCTACATATCTACATTTTAAAGAGCAGTTAAGTGCTGTTTTCCAGAATAGGGATAATTGCTTAAAGTTGTATTTGAAAGAGCACTGTGAGATTTTCCTTCAGCAATTGAATGAAACAATTGAATCCATACAACTCCCACTTTCAATTTTGCAAACTGCTAAAGCTCTTCAATTTTAAGTATTCCAGAAATACAGGGCCATAGCTTCCATAGAGGGACTGTAGACATGTAAATATTTAAGTCTAATTTTAATACATGCTGCCGATATTCTGGTTTTTATGTTTGAATTCACACTGATTGAATAAGGCTTCACTTTTATATTATCTAAATACAATTTCCATTTCCTTTTTTTTAAATAAATGCTTACAAATCAATGAAACAAGTTTGCATTCAACCTTGACTCAAGTTGCCATTTTGTGGCAGATTTGTGGCCTTGCTCAGGCTTGAACTGTAAGCGCTCCGGCCCTCCCAACTCCATTCACTGTTAGCAACAAACAGCGATAAGAAAGGGGCTGGTCAATGAAATACAAATCTTATCAGGCAGCCTTAGAAACAGAGCCAAGATGACACCTCTATTCAGGACATGTGTCACTACAAGATCAAATGATTTTTTCATACATAAGAGAAAAGAATCTATATATTATTTATTTATAGAATATGTGGAATATTTTTAGAATGAACAAGGTAGGACTACATTATTCAGTGCTCCATTAAGATGATCTGCATTTTCAAATCCAAACTAGATTTTCAATCCATGTTTCTGGTTCTCCAAGATCAAATATTTCAGTAGAATTCTAGCTTACATATAATAATAGTCATTGATTTGATAAAGAGTCTAATCATGTAGACCCAAAGCGCTTTACAGGATTTTCATTGTGAAGTAATTTAGGAAACAGAAAAATAAGGTTTTGTCCCAATTTTTTCTTGATTCATTTCCAACACCACCAGCAAATCTCACTGCTCAGTGATGATATTTCAGAGAAATCTCAGAAGGATTTTTATTTGAAACGGGGTGAACAAGCCAATGTGCAGTGTACTCATAATGCAGAAGAATGAGAGAAGCAGAGGGAGACAAATTGAAGGGAAGCAAATGAGAAATGTTGTTGATCAATAACAAAGCTCAAACATTTCATGTACAGATGACTCAGAATATGTCAAGAAAGTATGGAAACTGTTTTAGTGCTTCTTCAAAATCTCTTGGGTGTTCATCATGCAAGCCCAGAGGAAAAGGCAAGTGGGTAATGTGTTGGATAATAGAAAAGTCTGATCACAATTCGAGAGCTCTGCTGTTTTATGCAAAACTGCTTTTTTCAAATCATATCCCAGCATTCAAGTTTTGAGGCACAGAAATGATATATGCCAAATACTGCTAAATGGATAAACAGCACTCTGACTGGATTTATATGACAGCATCACAGACTTGTAACACACAGAAATATTGAGAATTAAGAATACACTGATAACTGAGCTTGGTAAAAAAGTTATACCTTCTTGTTCCACCGAGTCAACAACTGCATTGACAAGGTGTATTACTGTCACTATGGAAGCTTGTAAAGAAAATGGGAAGGAGCAGATTGAAATAAATTTACAGTTAGTACAGAGACTTCAAAGAACACGTGTAGCAACTTTACCTTTGCTTTGACATTGTTTAAAATATCAATTTACAAATAAAGAGAAATATACACGAAGTATGTTTCCAGGAAATACATATTTTTGTTTTGCCTTTACTTTCTAAACAATATAAAACATTAGAAATCTGCTTCCAGTTGTTAACATTTGCTAATAAGTTTAGTTTGCCACATATTGTGTCCATTTACTGCAGGCTACAATTTATTTATGTGTAACTGTAATTGATTTGCTGGCTTCACTGTTGCTATTTTCAGAAGATGTATGAAAGCAGAATTAGGCATAACGACTGTTTTAAAGTTACTGCTCTAAATGTTTTACAAAAAATAATTCAGGTAAGCTACAGTGTGTAGCTGGAAATGATCAAAAACGATAAATTCTGAAGATATTAAAGATTTCTTAGTGCAGATGTACTGTAATGATGTGCACTTTCACATTTGACCTCTATTCTTGCCCTTGATGTTTGGTTCTATGATTGGCAGGCACCCAGGACAATGAACAGAGGTTAAGGATTTGTAGATTATGAAAACATGAACATATTCAGAACGAATGTCACTGGGGAAAATAAAGCTGAAATATTAAAAAGGAGGCATCTTTAGTGCCTACAAAGTAATTGTGAGATAGTAGAGCTGAAATCAATTAACATTGTACAGAATTGCTTTGAAGAACATCATTGGACAGAGAATTTCTTGACAAAGCATTGATCATTTTATATTAAATATGTAATATAAATTTAATGTAATTAATTATTTTGCTTATTTTAAATAGATCTTCATTGTGTCAAGTCTAATACCCCACATAAATCAGAATTCAAGTAGGAGAAAAATCACAAATTGTTTATCTACTTCAAAACTCACTTCTCGTTTCCTACTGAAGGATTGTAGGAGAGTTTATTTTTTACTGGGAATGTTACACAGTAATGAAAGCTATAATGGGATTCTTGATAAAGATGATAAAACCATTAGGAAATTGACAGCTGAGATGATACTTTGAAAACGCACTGTATCATTCTCCACCACAAAATTGACTAGGTTAGGCTGGCAAACACATTAATATAATTTTATATATTGATATCAAATAATCTGCATCCCCAAAATAAACTAGCACGGAACTTTTGTCATCATTTGTACCTGTAAGTATTGCGCTGTCAAATGTTAATGGTTCCCTAATCATATATATGCATCGCAGGAGGGGCGATATAATGCATGAATAGAAAGTTAAAAAAAAAAGCAGGCTTCCTTGCCTCGCTCACAGCAACTGAAATACAGATATAATGTATGGTTTATTTTATGTAAAAAATCAGTGACTGAAAAATGCTTATGGTGGATGATTATGTTCTTCATTTCAGTGATTTTTTTAAAAAAAGTCAAAATAACCTTAGAGAAGTTTCATTTAAATGTAACTAATTTTCTTCTGTTATAGGCTCTTATTTCAATTTCCACAGCAGTACTCTTATGAATGTCGACAATAGCAGATGCTGTAGACAAAGAGGAAGAGATGTCAATTTTTTTTTCAAAGTTTATTGATTTATTTTAAGCCACACCACATTTAAATGTTATGAATTGCATAGTTTTACAGTTGTGGGGGGACTGGGTGTCAAATAACAATTTGCCAAAATAATCCTACAGATTTAAAATGAAAATGCTGCTGTTTTTACTGAAATCTAGCAGCCAACTGAGTAGCTATCAATCAAGATCAGAGAATCCCATTTCCCTCTCAGAAACATCTTCCTTTACTGCTTTAATCAAACTTACAACCAGATACTTGCTAAACTCGGGTCTCACTCACTGGAGACCTGATCTCGATGGGAGCTGAAGCCATAGCAAAAAAAAACTTAGCAAGTGACCGTTAAAACACATTTGAGAAATAGACATCTAAAATCTGAGAAGCAGTAAGACATCACAGACCAGTGTCACGTTTTTCAATATGTAGCACTCCAGCAGTGATTTTAGTAGGCTTAAGATCACTAACAATATAACAGTTACTGAAAACTTCAGCTATTATGTATAGAGATACTTGGAATGAACTGCCTTTAAAACCTTTGGTCAATTGTATATTTTGTGTTGAGTTACAATAAGAATTCAATGTCACCTAAAACTGGCAGCTTAGTGTAACAGAACACGACAATATAGATTTTGATGTCTGAAATTCTTACCGTTGTCATCACATGATTCAGACTGGAAAGAGCTCAGGGACTGCACTTCTGAGATGCTTCCATGGGTGTTAAAAGGTTGGCAAGCATTGTCCTCGAGAGACTTCTTTGATAGACAGGGATCAAGATCCACCACTTTAGCTATAAATGAACAAAATAGATATACAGGATTCCTGTTACCTGAACCTTGCACACAGATGTTCTTTTACCAAACAACAGTACAACCACCTTACTTGAGTAGGTTTGATAGATACACAATTTGAAAAACATATTTTTAAAAATTCTTATGAGAAATCAAGGCAAGTAAAGTATGCTGTTCATACAAATGTTATCAGATCACAAAAGCAGCACTTATGGTGCTAATCAGCTAATATTATCAATATTATGTAAATTTGAATGGAAAAGCGATAGGAGAGGTGTGAAGTGCTATTAAAATAATTGCATGGAACAGTAAGTTATGGATCGTCACCACAATTTCCCAATTGTCAGTATCAGAGGTGGCAATTGGGGACTATTTTATGCTGAGACTAAAAATAATGATCCAATTATAGACATAGTTAAACGATTGTGCTACATTTAGCGATGAAGACTAAGATAGATTTGAATGAGTGGAAACAATGCAGGGGCAGGAGAAGAAATAAAATGAATGCAGGACAGCCTAGTCAAGCTAGGTTACTGCAGTATCATGCACTTCCTAGCAGAGACTGATACATGCAGAGTGGCAGGGAAGCAATTTACCTGCCTGTTTTCTTGGCTAAGAATTACCATGTGCAATAAGAATGGGGGGAGGAAACGATAAAGAAATATAACTGTCTCCTTGATATATTCTAATTTTTAATGAGTTAGTTGAAATACTCACTGTCGTACTCATAGTCCCAGTTGGGTTTTTGAATAGAATCACAATCTGAAGGAGAGTTAGACGGAGGGGGAGGAGGTAGATTTGGAGCAACGCTGCAGACAGCTACTGTTTTGCGGTGCCCATGTAGAGAGTCTGGGTTGAAGGTGCTGAACTCTGGGTGCTCTGGGATGGCAGATCCTTCAAAGGAATTGCGGTCAAGATTGTTTCTGGAATCGCTGGGAATACTCGGAGTGTAAGAGATGGGGCGAACAGGCACCTGCGGTGGAATGTCTGAGTAGATGGTTTTAGTGATTTTTGAGTCAAAATAGTTCTTCTGCAAGAAAGATGTAGTAGCTCCTAATCGCTTCTCAGCAGCCTCCATGCGATGCTTCTGTTTACAAATTTTCTTACGGAAGACAACAAAAACTAAAACAAGGATGAATATAGTTGCCACAAAGACAATAATTCCAATAACTTCTTCTAAGCCAATATTCCAGGGTGTGGAAACATATTTGTTCATTAAAGTGTCAGTGCACAGTTTCCCATCGTACCCACGGTTACAGGTACAGTTGAAGGAGCCGTAGGTGTTTGCACATTTCGCTCCATTTTGGCAAGGGTTTTCATGGCACTCATCAATATCAGCCAAACACCTAGGGGAAAAGTTCAAGTAAAATGAACAGTGGAATTTCTTAAAAGAAATGCTGAAAATATATTTGAAGCTGTAGATCTAGGAAACTGGAGAATACAAACCTTTCTCCACGGTAACCCATTTCACATTCACAGACGGGGCCATCCAGACTATCTATGCATCTACCGTTATTTTTACAAGGATTATCTTTGCAGTATGGACCTATCTGGCACCTAAAATCAAGATAGAGACATTTCAATTCAGTATAACAGTTTATTAGTTTTCAGTTCAATTTCCAACCAAAGGAGAAAAGGCGGAGGCATTTTCGGGATTTATTAATTTAAACCTTTCGGGTTTATTTAATTTTCTTACCAATTTTCGAGTTTTTATAACTTGATGGTTTTGAAAGCTTTCATTACAGTAATGAGAATACTCGCCTGTGCACATGGAGGGAGGAAGGGAGGGAAGAGAGGGAGGGAGGGAGGAGCCCTCACGGACACTCAGTGCCTCTGTCCTCTCAAACGCTTCATCGGACACGGTGAGTGATCCTGCACAGTTGGCACACCATGGCACCAGCAATAGCGAGTGAGGGAGAAAGAGAAAATCTCACCTCGGATTTGAGTAACTATTTCCAATGTTTTTTTGCTATTTATTGTATAAACACCAATTTAATTTCTGGGGAATTAGTGGCGTTTTATAGTTTTCTATAGTTTAAAACAGAAATTCCAAAGCCTCACTTATAGTTAAAATCAGCAGGTTATAGTTTTGCTGAAAATCAAGTTTTAAACATCTTCATATTTCAGATTTGCCATGATTTCATTGGATTCATCAATTTTGCATTATCTGTTTTTTTCCTTATCAAAAATTAATGAGGAAATGATTTCATACAGCAGTAATAATGGTTTACATTTTCAAGATGTCGGGACTCTGCAAAGCTAGCAACAAAAAATAATTTTTAGTGCAAATGCTTATAATTTGGCTTCAAAATAGGAAGTGGACTTTTTTTAGTGGAAGGGAAAAAAATTACACTCAGATAAAAAATGTGGAAATGTTTCAGTGAAGATGGAGAATTTAGAAAAATTCCTGGAAATTAAAATCATTCAGGGTTATTAGATTATGAGATACATGTGCTTAAGGAATCGTCCTGGAAAGTTGGATCAGATATAGAAGGACTATTCTTACCTGAAATTGTGACTGTATTATCTTTATGTGTAAGAAGGAATTACAGGCGTTTATGTAAGAAGAAACCAATGTAAATGATTTCAGAATCACCTATATTGCTTTAGTACATAACCAAGAACATCAGTGTACTGTTTATACATGTGCATTTACACATGGTATTACAAAACTAGAAATTAGAACCCCTGAGGTGTACTGCTTTCTTGTCGTGGCTGTTCGTTCATCCCATATTATTTATTTTCAATATCCTTGGAAGCTACAGAAGTAAAATTAAATTACAAGTTTTATAGGAAAGAATGATGAATACCTTTCATAAATATACTAATTTGCATCAAGTGTAAGTTTTTAAAGAAGCAGGACAAGGTGCATGGGATAAGTAAATAGATTTAACCATCAATCATGATTTCAGAGTCTCTCATTATCTTGTATTTATTGTTTTGATATTTGATAACATGATTTCTTTCATTGGTGATTATAAGCCCAATTCTGACTTATCCAGGNTTTTTTTTCAAGAAGCAGAAAACCACATAGCTTGCCATACTGTAACCTCACTTGCAGCTATGGAAAATAACTAGAAAATCAGACTCCTTCTTTCAGTCATATTGTGGATAAGATTAATTTAGGCTATAGGTATTCAAAATTCCAAACTTCACTGTGCAAATAACCGTACCGTCCATACCTCTTGATGTCAACAGTTCAAAACATGTTCACATTTTGCAATTAAATGGTATCTAGAAAACAAGAGAAAGACTAACCTTTGTCCCGTATACTGTCCTCTGCATTGACAGATATAATCATAATCATCATTCACTGAAATGCAAGTCCCACCATACAGACAAGGATTAGACGCACAAGGGCTGACTCTATCCTCACAGTGAATGCCCATAAACATGTGTGTACACTTGCAGAAATAACCTGTAAAAATACAGAAAAATAATAATAATCCATGCATTTGATACGGTACTTGATCATGTCTTTGAGATGTTTCAAAGTGCTTAACAGAATATACAGTAAAGTGGATTGACTGTATATTTTGTGGGCGAAACGTGGCAGCCAATTCCATACAGTAATGTCCCCATAAACAGTCGTGGTTTGAGCGTCCAAAATACATCAGCAATTGTTTTTTAAAAAAGCGATCCATAAATCGACAAACAGTGTTTACCTACTTACTGCTAGATAAACAGGTTTGTGGAGTAAGGAAACTTGCCTAAGATTTTACTCCGCCCAGCAATCGAACCCAGATCCTCTCACTTGTGAGCCGAGTGCTCTAACCACTGGGCTACAGGATTCCAATCCGCTCCCCACTCCTCCCCTCCCCCTGATCCCAAACACAGGAAATATTCTCACTTCCCTCAATTCCGATCGGATTGCAATTCCACAAACTAAAAAATCATCATTAAATAGAAGTGTTATGTGTAGTTATCTTGACTCTGCAAAATTATTTTAAAAATCATTAGCCATAGTCATACAGTAGTTGCCGACACCAATATTGAAATGAATTAAGTTTCACTTTCCTCTGTTGCCACAAAATAAAATCCATTACAAATCCCCTTTTCAATCTATTCCATTATTCAAATGCATTGTGATTATGTTGCCTTTTAATCACATCTACATATTGTACCAAAATGCCCAATACTCAGCTAGTTAACTGAAAATAATCAAAATGTGCATCAAGCATACAGATCAGTGGTCTGCGTGAATTATTAAATGACATTTTCGCCAACTCAAGTCACGACTGTTAACAATAATCTGAAGATTAATTGAGTATTTTGTAGAATTACAGTAATGTAGAATTCTTCCAGAATTCTACGGAAGAATTCTACAGTGCTATAATTCTACAAAATACCAGAGATTATTATCATTTAACAATATTAAATACTTATTAAAAATGTCTCGGTTGAGAGCATTGCCATTTGTGATGCTGTATTAGCATATTTATAGAGGTTGTTGAAATTTAACATCTTCTGGTGTGATATGAAAAAATATAGTGATTCCTTCTAGAATGAGAATTGACGGAAGAGATGCTTCCAATTTGTGTAGGATCTGAAATTGGTTTATTCATAAGGATATGCATTTCTGCTCAGTGAGCAGTTACCTGTCATAAAAACAGTGATTTAAAATAAAATATAAAGCCACTGCCACTTACCAGCGACTTTAAGTACATCAGCTACCCCATTTACACAATCTGAGTGGCTACAATTTTGTGTAATATAACCCAAAATAATGTAAGACATTTATATTTTTGCGGCAGCTTTGTATGATATACTACTTTGTACTGTATACACAAAACTAGCATTGACAGCCAGGATATTCTATAGAGAAACGAAACTCATTGATTACTTAACATTATTCATTCTGTGTGAAGTCAATACTTCCCAGGGTCCAAATACATCAGCCAATTCTAATATTTAGACATTCCAAAGAACCCTATCACAGTATTGAATAGAAAAGCTTGCTGCCTTATAATTTGTTACAAACACATCAGCAGAACTGCACAGAAATTGCAGCTGCTCTTTTACAGCATTTGACAAACTCTGCCTTATTTTTCTTTATTCAGTTAACTGTCAACAATGCAATAAACAAATGGCAAAAGGCAATTCACAAACACTGCACAAGTTACAGAACATCACATTTCACTTTCCATCACAAATATAAGAACAATGGTCTTTTCAACACATACACAAAACACTAGAATGAGAATTTAATTGGCAACATACACCACTCGATTTGCTAAAGGCAGCGTGACTAGGTTGATAATAATTATTCAATATTGTACATTGTATCAGAATGACATTGAATCCATATTTTACTCACAAGATAGTTAATTTCAAATATTTCTCCTCCAATTTCAACCCTTCCCTTTTCTTTCTACGAATACATGCTTGGTATTTGACTAAAATGCAAAAGAAGTAATTCTAATCTTGCACAGATCACTGATGAGACATTTGGAATACTAGATACAGCTTTGGCATTTTTCCATCAAAAGATGGAGGAGCTGAAGGGAATTCAGAGAAGTGGAACAACGATGACTCTGGGATTCAGCAGCTTATTTTTCTTGTCAGAAAAATTGGCAACCTTAGTTACAAGTATGTACTATATTACTCTCAATTTTGTCAGTTTGCTCATCTTTGAGTTTCTAATGGACAAGTAGATGATTTGATTTAGATTATTGGAAAACAGCATTGGAGGAAAAGCTTTACAACTAAAATGCTTGAAAGGAGTCTATAAGATTTATGTTTTTTTGTTACTACAGTGAGTGGAACTGGCTCCAAACAAAGAAAGTTAATTGTACATTGATTAACTCCCTCAAAAAAAAACGGATGAGTACGATATCTGCTCAGGACTGTAAAATCACACAGACAGTCCAGTCCTTCCCTTTACTATTACAATTCAAACCATATAGAAACACAGCCAATCTTCTATGAATAGATTGGAACTAATTGTGTGCAGTGTTTCGGAAATGCAAACTGTACAATCGTCTTTTCAAAAACAATCGCATGAGCAAAATCCTTTGTGAAGATTATCCCAGAATTCTTGTTTTGCAATAGAAGATAAATAAACCCATTATCCCTCATTATTCCTTACAAGTTATCTGAAAGATTATTCATTGCTGTGACATAACTCTCCTTTGTTCTTAAAACTCTTGACTTACCTCCATTCCGTAGTGAAGAGCACGTACCAGCATTCAAGCATGGATTGCTGGAGCAGCCTTCTGCAAGCACCAGGGAACATCCAGGAGACATTTCGACAGATTCCTCCATAACTGCGTTAATCTTTGTCTTATTGTTCAAAGGTAGTGCCTGTCCATTCAGCAAAACGGAATCCAGACAGCCTCTGAAGCCATTGCTGACTTGTAGACTCCTGCCATGCTTTGTGTTCTGCTGTCGAACATGGCCCCCAAAGTATAAAAAGTTGTCTAGGTTCAGCGTTCTCAGGGTACCTGGGGCAGTGCCAGCTGCGGTGTGGAGTCTGTCTAGCACTAATCTTGCATAATTGCCATCCACCTCAAGTGAAATAGAATGCCACTGGCCATCATTGATTTGACTGCTTTGTACGGATACAGTCCCTGGGCCACTGCCACAGTCAAACTTGTACTGCAGCTTCCCATTGTTAATCTGAAAAGCAGGAATGCGAATAATAAATGGAATTGCCTAGTTTTACTCGTTGGATTACACATATCAGTGAAAAGGTGATACATTTAGATAGAGTTAATGAACTTTAGTTGCACAAATATAGATAAATCTCAGGCGTTTTAGCCTGCAGTATTGTTTAATTTTTTATTCAAAATCAGAAGCTTCCATTTTTCCTAATTCCTCGTACAAATATAAAAGAAATGCACATTTAATTTAAATAATTTACACATCCTCGTACTTCAGAACAGCACACACAAATACGATTCTTACTGACACATGATTTGAGACATTTGGGAATGTTTTGTTACAGGTCCTGCCACATGATCCAACGTATCTTCAGGCCCTTCTGAATAATGACACTTGTCGTTTTATGCAACCAATTTATATTTGAAAGGAAATAGACCACTACAGCAATTAAAAACATCTTCATTTTAAATTGAAGTTCACTTTCTCGTACATTTTTGAACTGCAAATTATACCTTTTAGGTGAACCAATAATGCAACATAGGAGAAACAGAAATTGCACAAAAAGTTCTTGATTTTCTCTCTTACTGCTTAAATGGTCTAGTGCTTTGTCCTTTATTTGCACATGTCCATTAGGTTCTATTTGAAGCATACCTCTAGAATGCTGTAGTCTGTCCCCTTAGCATACATGATAACTGCATGTGGATGATAAGTTCGTAAGCGTAGTGAGAGTTTCATTTCCTCTTTGTTTTCATTTTCCACAAGTCGGTACTTCACGTAACTGTTACCGTTGAATGACAGAGAAGGCCCACCTGAAAATTAAAACCAACATTTACTATTATGATAGGTGATAATGAAACCTGCCAAATAAAATATGTAACAGGTAGAACCTTTTCAGTGTCAACTGATCCATCATGATGAATGAAATGATTTTTTTAAGAGTTAGATTTCACAAAGGCTTGGGAAAATCCTTACCAGAGCACTGGCTGTGTTTGCCATTTTTACACAAACAGGTGTACCTTTCTTCCTTTGTATCTGGTACACATTCAGTGTCAGCAGGGCAAGAATTACCTTCACACAGTTTATGCATGTTAGGGCATTTGCCATCTAAAAACAATAAAGAAAATAAATTACTCTTTATAGTGGTCAAACAGAACTGTGAAATGCATTGTTTTACATTACTGCTGCTGCATCAACATTTTTAAGTATTAGCTGAAATTAAATTCACAAAAGCAATTTAGTGCACATAATTGTGAATATTGTGGGGAAAATCACAACTTTAAAACATATGCATATTTGCCCCTAGTTGTTCTGCTAACTTGAAAAATTGTTCACATTCAGATAAGACAGCTTCCTTTTATGCATCAGTCCATCTAGTATTCTCAGATATAAAAGCACTTCTATGATTTCCTCAACAATGAAGCATACATATAAAATTCCCCATTTATAATGTGGTTCCTCCCTATCTTATAACATTCTCTCTAGAGCAGTTCCCAAGGATGCTTTAACAAAACAGGGAGAGGCACATTGCATCACCAAAAAGTAATATTATCCTCAACACACTAAAGAGACTTTGCAATCGTAACCAGGAGACAAGCAATTGCTCACTGTGTAGCCATAGTTGTAGAGTCATAGCTTAGAATACTCTCTTACCTTTACAAAGACAGACTGCTGTTCTGTGATGCCGCGGGGTGACAAAGCTCAGTCTAGCAGTGCTGTGAGTTGATATACTGTTTCTGTCTACAGTAATCTTCTCTTCACAATATTTAAGAGGACAGTCCAGGCCAGCACAAAGCTTGTTAATGATTTTCAGAATTCGGACACCCATCATTTCCTCAATGTCTCCCACTGAAGTATTCAACTTCCGGAAGAGGACATCGGGGAGATGTAACTCGTTGCTTGTTTTTTCAATAGCAAGAAGTACATCCAAATTTGAAGGGATTTCAGAAGGCTGTAGACTTATAATATGGATATCATGTTTTCTAATGGCAAGAATGTTTCGCAAGGCTCTTTGGAAGTTCCGCCAATAGTCTCCTATGAACTCTTCTGGTGCAATTTTTGCAAAGCGAATGGCAATAGCATTGTTGACCAGATTTTGACTTGCTTTCTTAATATGTACAAACACATCAGCAGCTGCTGTAAAGCGGCCATCGGTAACAGTGACATTCAGACGATATTGTCCAACATCCAAATCCTTATGAGCAATCACTTTGCCATCGGTGCTGGAGACTGCAAATGAGTTTCCCATGTTTGTAGCTAGACTGTAGGTGAGAGTGTCATATATATCCTGATCTGTTGCATGAATCTTTCCAATAACACCACCTGAATACTCATCTCCAACAGTTGCTATGTGGATTTCCAGAGGAAGAATGGCTGGAGGATAAATACTTTCTTCAATAATTTTAACAGTAATGAATGTTGAAGAGGATAACGGAGGTCGTCCACTATCGGTCACCTAAATAAGAAACAGGTTTTACATTCCAAGCTCATTTTCATTACATATACTCTGTAGCATTTCACAGGTTTTGTGCTAACAGAGTTCCCTCTCAGAAAATGTGATTTTAATGTACAATGATTATCAATGAAAAACATTTGAGGGGCTGCCGTGCTCAAATTCCGAACTGCACAGCTGTCCAACGCACTTAGTAAGTTATCTCTCAAAGCTGTGCCAGAGACAAATACAGACTGCTTTTAATAATCCAAAGCATTGGTGACAGTTGGGCCACCTACCTTGCTCATCAATAAGACTTGAGAGGCACAGACATGCCCTCAACTCTGTCAGCCGAAGCCCTAATGAATATGAGCTCCTAGTTTAAAACTTGTTAAAAAGTTATTAGTGTTTCATAGCAGTAAGCTGCATGGTTGGCTACCACATTATTTCTTGTAATATCCCATGTAAGAAAGTTTGTGTATCTTCTTTGTTTCTCTCCTGTTTTATTTATTGTAACTATATTACAGTAACTACCCAATTGCTACCACCTTGTTTGGGTCTTTAACATGAATGGTTCAAACTGTTCCACTATGCAGTACCACCCAACCAATTACGTTCAGTAAAATCTCCATTTATTTTGTTCTGCTTCTGGCAAGTAAGTATCTATGATCACCTTATCACAGCATGAAGCCTCCCACATGACATGTTCTTAATATGGGCATTTCTGATTAATTTTACATCTTATTTTCCTATCAAACCCATTTTACTCTACATGGTAACGATTTTATGTAGATTGCAATTAATACAAAATAAAACAAATCATCCGGGGTCCTATAATAATTCACAAGGTTTAATGTTGCTTTTACCTGTACTTGCAGCAGATACATATCCTTCAACTTGTGGTTGAGTTGGACTGATGATGTCAACAACCCCTGAGGATTTATTTGAAATTCATTCTCTGCATTCCCATCAGTGATTGCAAAGGTGAAGGGAGGACCATTATGTGAAGAATCTTGATCTATCACTTCGAGCTGCATCACACTGGATCCAACAGGCTTATTTTCCTAAAAAATGGACATTGTTTCATTCATACGGTAAAATATTTCCTCCTTTAAGCAGTGAAAAATATCACTCTAGACTACACAAATTACTTAGTTGCTCTGCCTTTTTTAATTTGTTATGAAAATCGGGAATGTTAATCCCTGCTTGGAAAGTGCAAGCTACTGAATATAGGAACACTGAATTCTATTCCTCGCCTCAAAACAGAATTTAAACTAGTTTGAAATAAAACTACATAAACCTAATAACTCACATAGTTCAGCATCAAAAACTCAGGCACAAGGTAATGACTTTGCCTTCAGAGGCTGCCAGCTAAATAATTTCCTGTTTTGAGCAATTTCAATTCTCAGAGGGGCTGTTGGATGGGGCTTTCCACACACACTCAATCTTTGATCTCAGGGGTAAAGAGGACCTGACGTTATCCATTTCAGCCTCACTTAAATGTTGACTCCTGCCAGCGGATCACAGAAATGCTGCTGGTAGGCTACTGCATTGAACATCACCACAGCTCGTTTAGTGTCTAAGTTCTTATAGGTAATTGCAGGTAGTATATTGGACAAGTAGTTATAAAGTACTAGCATTAAGCATTTAATTCATAGACTCTAGGTCGAGTCAGACAATGGAAATCTGGACTGAATACAGCTCCAAACCTCTAACCAGGGATCTAAATTTCTTGGGAAATTTATCACTTTATGACACCCATTGGGAAGTGATAAATAATAATCCTTGCATTTGATATAGCGCCTTACCACGTCTTCGAGACGTCTCAAAGCGCTTTGCAGAATATACTGTAAAGTGGTTTGACTATATTTTGTGGGTGAAATGCAGCAGCCAATTGTGCACAGCAGAATCATGTGGTAGTAAAGCGTAGGAGAAATTTGAGTCAATTGAAAATGAACACGAATAGGCATAGACAACTCCTGACAAGATACAACAAATCAATCAATGTTTTTCCTGCTGCAATGAGGATGTACTACATTCTAATCTGTTCCTGAGGAGGGATGGTTTGTAACATAGTGCACTGCCTCATTGTACTTCTCAGTTTCACACTGGACTACTGCTTTCCTAATGAAAAGCTGTCATGTACCGATGCGTGATGAGTTTAAATGTTTGAAAATCTAAGTTCACGGATCCAAAAGATATTGCAAAAAAAAAGTTGTTCCTTTGACTTGATAAATGAATAACTATCTGCCTTAAAAATGTAATTTCAGAAGTTTTATTGGTTGCTACTGAATTTTTTCACCATTCTTACCTGGATGATAATACTATAATTTCCCTGTGAGAACACAGGAGGATTATCATTTACATCAGTCACATCGATGTTGACAATAGTTGTATTGATCCAAGGTGGATTGCCATTGTCTGCAGCTTGTACCATCAGAGTGTACCCAGAAATCTAAATTGTAGAGGGAAAAAAAGTAATAATCTATGATCAGAAAGAGTGTTCTCGTTCTTCAGGGTTATGTATCTTTAGCTTCATAAAACACAACACACTGGTTACGTTATTTTATTTTTGAACACACAATTTTATTTTTAATTTTAAAATGTCACACATTTCAGCAAATTCAAGACAGAGGCTTCATCCATAAATACATACTTTACTGTCTTACTGGATCTTATTTTCTCTTTCATGAGCTCAAGAAAAAAATATTAGTAAGTAGTCGATAACATCAAACGGAAGTTGTTATTATTTTAATAACAGCTGCTAATAGTGTGACAAACTATACTGAATAAGATATGCTTGAACCACACTTCAAATCTACTTACTTTTTCTCTGTCCAAATGTTTTGCTACCTTTATTTCTCCTCTCGTAGAATCAATGGTAAATGGGTTCCCTTGATTGCCATTAATGATCGAGTAGCGGATTTGGTTGTTTGATGGACCATCTGAATCATCGGCTACGACCTACAAAAATTATAAAATCATTAGTGTTGTCATATTTGCCTAAAACTTTCAATGCATTCTTAACATCCAGTGGCATGTATAGCTTTGCTACTAAAACATTTTGAGTACATCCTCATGGGAAATAACTTTCAGTGCAAATATTTTGGCATGATCAGAGCTCAAGCCTGATAATGGAATTCACAGCCAGGCACATATGTTTATGTTTCATAAAGGAAAGTAATTAAATATGTTATTATAAATGAAACAGGGCTTTTGCCCTGCACTTAAAAGTTCAATTTTTTATAACCTTGAGATTCTCTGTCATGTACACACTAAATCTTGGCAATTATTCAAATTAGGTTATTTTGAGACTTTGTCTTAAGTAAGAGAGTCATGAACACCATAAGGGTTGCACCAACACACATAAATGTATTGTTGTTTCAGCAACAAATTTTACATTTCAATACTGGTGCAGTTCAAAAACAGTAGTCTGCAATAATCTGCTTCAATTGTTTTAAATTATTCAAAACTGATATACCTCTCTTACAAATAAACAATGGTGTTGGAATAAAATAAGGATAATTGATGATACATACTTCAAAAGAAAAGATCTGATGGCCTGAATTACCTCCTCCATGCTAAATATTCTATGAAGATATTCTCAAACTTCATTAACTTAAATTTTTTTTATAGCGAGAATGATCACATTTTTATTCAGCCAAAGTCTATGTTTATCACAGATCTGTTCTTTCTCCACTCATGCTATTAATGCATTCTTAATTAAACTGTACAGGTGATTTAGACATGAAGAATAGATATGTCTTATGAAATGTTTGAACATACTGCAACAATGAGCTGTCCCAGAGAGGCGTCTTCACTTATCACTGCCATGTACACTTCCTGGCTAAATTGAGGAGTGTTGTCATTGATATCTGTCACATTGATATTCACTGTCGCTACATCATTAAGTGAAGGCGTGCCGCCATCCGTGACTTCAACTGTCAAATAATATTCATGAGCTGCCTCATAGTCCAGGTTGTCAATCACAAAAATAGTACCTGTCACGCACATGAAAACAGAATCACAAATTAAAGAAAACAATGCAACAAATTAAATCATTCACCAGTGTTACAAAATACATGTAAAACATGATATTCTTAAATTAGACTTTAGCTGTTGAATGGTTAACAATGTTCAATGCAATACTATTAATTTATGATCAGCAAATAAAAACTACAATTGCTATTTTTGAAAATAAATACCTTTGTTTGCATCTATGCTGAACTTGCCATGCTCGTTGCCATTTATGATGGAGTAAGTAATCTCTGCATTGGCTTCAATGTCCCGGCTGGCTGCAAATACTTGAAGGACTTCAGTTCCCACAGAAATATCCTCAGAAAGTGTGGCTAGGTATTCTCTGTGCTCAAATACAGGTGGGTTATCATTGATATCTAACACAGAAACCAAAACTGTGGAAACAGATGAAAGTTTTCTAAGAGAGCCCTGATCAGTGGCCTTCACTTTTAGGATGTATGAACCTTGGAGTTCTCGGTCTAAAGGTTTCTCCAAACTCATAATGCCTGATAATTCATCGATGGAAAAGTGATCCTCTGCGGAATCCACGAGTGAATAAAGCACCTTACGATTCAACCCTGTGTTTTGAAACATAGTGGGAATACTGTTACCAGAATTATCATAGATAATAAAGAATCAGAAAGTAGTGTAGAATGTTTTTGGTAAGAAGTGTTATTGCAACAACAAATATAACTGTACATCACATCACTACATGTACAGTTGAGCATCACTGGTTGCATGGGCAGTTCACAGTTTAAGTAACACCTGTGGCAAACATACAACTCAAGTCAACCATTTTATAGTCAAAAGGTTTACTAAAATCAGAACAATTCAAAAGAGGCAAATTAAATATCATTATTAGTGCCCAGCCAGTACTGTTAAACTCCTTGGGATGTCCTCCCTAAGTGAAAGGCACTATTTAAATATATATTTGTATATTACCCATAAAAACACAGAAACCGCCCACCCAGTTAACAGAGGACACCATCATAGCTCAACACTTTTGCTAATACTAATAACTTTTGTTGAAAAGAGAAGTGGTATTTGGCATAATTAATCATATTCGTCTGTTCAATTTATATATAAAAGAGAAATAAACCTATCTGGTGAGACTGAAACAATGTTCATGTGATTCATGGAATAAAGTGATTTCACTTTACCTATCGATTACTCAATTGTTGTTAACATTCTGACAAGCTCCAAATTCAAACACGTTACATTATTATTACATTATTCTCTAACAAAATGAAGCATTGATCGGCAGCAAAGTAATCCCAATTGTTGCATTCGTGGTCTATGTTTATGGAGCATGAATACATGTAAAATTCAGAACATTGTTTGATGGATTGATTATGTTATGATTATTAGTGTACATCAGATCATTGATAAGTTGTAGTTTTACAATCCTTACACCAGTAATGAAAACAATGAAAATGTATACATTATCTTATTATATCTGCCAGATTTTAGAGTATGAAGTTTCAGAACCTTTAACAAATTCACCTGATGCACTTAAAACTACACCAGGAAGAATAAAGTTCTTGGAATTTCAATACATGATTTGCGTTTTCTTTAGTGTTCCTTAATTGAACTTTCAATATAGAATATTTCTCACAACAAACTTTCTTACGCCTCGAGGTTACAACTAGAGTAGCTTATGCAATTGTTAATTTTTATCTGCCTCTTCACATAACAGTATATGTGGTGAAAAGAGCTTGATAAGTCAATTAAACCACAATTCTATTTTTTTTAAAAGAGTTACAAACATATTCTGGAAAGAGGATCCAATCGCTGAAGAACTTTCTTCATCCAAATCTCTCCTGTGATTACAAATATCGTCATCAACTACACCCCATAGATCCATTATTGAAAAACATTTATTGATACTTGGAATCTGAAATTTTCCTACCTGCATCTTGATCGGTGGCTTGAACTCTTGTCAACATTGTTTTAACAGCAGTGTTCTCAAAGACTGATATGGTGTATGGATCAGATGAAAATTCGGGTGCATTGTCGTTGACATCCTCTAATATCAGAACAATATCAGCCTGGCAAAAACGGCCACCTCCATCTCTGGCTCTCACTAGAAGATTATAAACGTCTTTCTGCTCACGATCTAGTGGAGCTGAAGTTTTCAACTCACCTATTGTTTAATACGAAATAGAAATAAATGTGGAAAGATGCTTTGAACAAAAATGCTAAAATAAATGGCATATTAAGACTGCAATATCTTTTAGTCTTAAACAACAAATTACAGTTGTGTAGCACCTTTCATGTCAGGAGGACTTCCCAAGGTGCTGGACAGTCAGGGATCCGCACCCAAACCGGTGATTGGGATCAGGAGGGGTGGAGAGCTGGGAGGGTAGGGGTAGGAGGGTGACTGAAGGCACATTCGAAGAGGAGGGTCTTGAAGGGGGCAAGGTGGATGGAGTTCCAGAGAGTGGAACCAGAGAGCCTGAAGGCCCACCCGCCAATGGTGGGGTGAGGCGGGCGACATGAAGCAGGCTGGAGCCCGCTGAGCAGGGGGAGCAGACAGGTTGGTAGGGGGTTAGGAGGTCACAGAGGTAGGGAGGAGCAAGGCCATGGAGGGCTCTGAATTGATTCTTTCTTCCGAATTGATAAGGCGCTCTACCAAATGCAAGGATTATTACATTATTATTAAAAGCTGGGTTAGCATGCAATATTGAAGGGCACTATAATGCGGTTCCCCTATTTTTGTACAGCACATTCTTAGTGTCTGGACACATTCCAAGGAGAACGTTAATCATCCAAGCACGCAGGAAAACAAAAAAAAACTATAATTTCTTCCCAGTCATCTGTGAAATAAATACAAAGGAACAGTGTACATTCTCACCAGTTTCTGGTTCCAGTAGGAATTTCTCTGCTCCAGGTCCATGAAGTGTATAAGTGACTTTTGCGTTTGAACGAATATCTGCATCTACGGCAGAGACCAGTAGGATTGATTTGCCAGAAGGAACATCCTCTGCAATAGTCTCGGTGTATAATGTCTGAGAAGAAAAACACATTATGGTTACTTGAGGAATTGTCTATCTGCTTTTTTTGATCTAAAGGCTGAAATAATACCAAACCATTCTGAGGATGTGGCTCCTCACGATTTATTCAGCCCACAACTAAAACCCAAAATATTTCAAAATGCTACCTAAATTTTTTTTCCGTTACATTTTTTGGCTTCATTGCAGCCAGTCATTTTAGATTGCCTTTACTTCTATTATTTCTTCTGTTTCTTACTGTCTGTCACCAAATGGTCAGTCATTTGACTATAGGGACGTGCAACAATCCGAGTACAATGGCAAAAAGCCAAATAGTCTGATTCTACTTAGGTATGCTGGCAGCACTGTTTTTTTAGAACCTAAATAAAGGTGTAATGTTGATACAATCTTAATCTTTTCAATGTTAATTCAGCATCTTGTTTTAATACCAATAATGCTTTTCTCAGAAACCTCCATATAATGTTTGTATTCTTTTAGATACATTACTTCTATTATTGGTCTGTATCTCAGATACACTTTATCCACGCAAGAACAGATGGACAGGGCTATTTATTTGTTGTAGTAGTTTATTAAGGGTCCACAAGATTGAAACTTATAGCTAAGAAAAGTTACAATAGAATAGTGACTGCTCTGAAGGGATAGTGAATATACTCCAAAATCTGAACATACTCCCTTTTTGGACTTTTTAATGTTTCGCTATAGGCTTTGTACAAATACCGAGAATAATTACCTGTAAGTGTAATAGAAAGCAGTCTATCAAGTTGACAGACCTTTTGTTAGAAAACAGAAGCAAAAGCTAACAGTTCTAAATACTGCAAAGTGGCCTTAGGACCTTCTGGCCATTATTCATTATTACAAGGTGAATTAAAGGGTTTAGATACACACACCCTTCAGAAAATGTGCTTATTCTGAGTAAATTGCACAATGCCACTGGTCTTGCAAATGGGTGCAACAAAAAGGTACAAACAAAATACAGGAGGTCTCAGATTCAATCCCTATTTGTGTTGTTAAGTTAAGCTTAGTGGTTAATGGCAATAATAAGGTATTATAATTTGTCTCAGCAATACTGAGGTTGTTCTGTTCTTCTTCCATAGTAACACTGGTCATTATGGCTCTGATGGGGCACAGATGGTTTGTAGCCCAAACTAAGTTGTACAAGCTTCATAAGCCTGGGGGCAAGATTTTTGGGATGGAAACTCTTAACACATTAAGAAAATAGTAAGACAGTGGTGCCATTGCAAACTAAACCTCTCAAAAATGTCTCTCAACATCGGGTCAAAGTATTTGACAGCTTTTAGTACACATAACGCTATATTCTGAGATATTGGAAAATGCTTTGCAGACCACTGAGAAAGAAGTTTTATTTTTAATAGTGTCAGAACTGGAACTAACAAATACTATTCACAGGAACATACTGCTACGAGGATTAAAACTATAATTGAATAATTCCCAAATGATCTCATGATAAAGACTAATCCATGTTATTTGATACTGATAACCCATGAAGAAACATCAACAAAATCACCATCTAAATAAGATCAAATATACTCCCTGCAGTCAAAGAACATCTTTTTCTATCAATGGACATTCTTGCTAACAACAACAATAACAACAAGATTTCATTTATAGAGCGCCTTTCACGTCGGGAGGACGTCCCAAGGCGCTGGACAGTTGGGTCAGGACCCGAGCAGGGGGGAAATGGTCAGGGTGAGGGGAGGGAAGGGAGGGAACGAGGAGGGGGTAGAGAGTCGAGAGGGGAGCTGAAGGCACGGTCAAAGAGAAGGGAAGGAGCATGTGCTCTTTAATAATAAACTCCAAAGCATCCACCCAATTCTAATTTATATTAAAACAATGTGGGATATATTTTAGGCAAGATGTCCAAATATTCCTTACATTTACTTTGTTGATAATGTTCTTGAATGAAATTACTATATTTCTTAGTTTTTACAAAAAATGACGAAAAACACATGCAATTGTTTTGTATTTCATTTTTGAGGTGGTGAGACTGTGATCGCCTAAAGAGTTATATAAGGTTTTAAAGATGTATGGCAATTATTGATTATTTTCCCTGTGTCCAGAGGTGAATAAAACACTTTTCAATTAAACAGAGACAAATATTGCTTTGCTTCTAATTTTAGAGCAAAGCCAACCTGTCCCTGCGCTAAATAGAAATAGAAATAGAACACAGCAGCCAATTGCGCACAGCAATGTCCCACAAACAGTCGTAGATTGAAATTGACCAATTTATTATTGTTTTGGGTTTTGGAGGGATTATTATTAGGCGTGTGGAGTAAGGAAACTTGCCTAAGGTTTCGCCCTGCCTGGAATGGGGAGAAATTGGGCTCTCTCGGTAATCAACTGTTATGCCATCTCTAGCTTGATTTGAGATCTACTGACGGATGGTTCGAAAGCAAAACACAGGCAATATAACAGGCCTAATTATAGATTAGTTATGAAAAAGGAATAAAACTTTCTATGATTCTAAACAATAGGACAATAGCCGTTTGGGTTTGAATAGAACATTAAGTCTATATGTCTAGACATGTTATCCTGAGACTCTGGCTGCAAAGAGGATTGGATAATCATTAACAGATGTCCAGTTACACTGCTTGTCTACAACATTTCAAATCTAGGGAAATCAGAGCTCTATTCATACATACTTAGCAGTATGTGCCAGAAAACGCCCTGACCACACCTAAATACCAGTGTTAGTTTCAATGTTTGTGAAGAGCCAACTGTCCTCTTAGCACTTCATTAATATTGAAGTAGTCCAGTTAGCTACCAGAAAACATGTTAAATGTAAAGCTTCAAAGTTTAATCTGCGTTGGAAAAATACCAATTCTTGATTAGTCAGCAGTTTCTACAATGAATTGTTTCAAAATCTAAGAACCTATCAGGATCCAGATAAAGGCAAAGTAACACACATGGAAAAGAAACAGCAAGCATGTAAGCATTATAATAATCCTTATAATAATAATCCTTGCTTTTGATATAGCGCTTTTCACGTCTTCTAGACGTCTCAAAGCGCTTCACAGAATATACTGTGAAATGAATTGACTGTATATTTGTGGGCGAAACGCGGCAGCCAATTGCGCACAGCAATGTCCCACAAGCAGTCGTGGATTGAAGTGACCAATTTATTATTTTTTTCTTGAGGGTATATTATCAGGTGTGTGAAGTAAGGAAACTTTCCCAAGGTTTTGCCCTGCTGGGAATTAAACTCAGGTTTCTCGCTTGCGAGTCGAGTGCTCTAACACTGGACTCCACCTGGATGAAGGAAAGCAAAATGACTAAGTAATGTCTCTCTGTGATCAAGGTTGTTATTCTAGTGCTTTGGACTCCACAGATATACATTCAGTGACGTATGAAAACAGGCTTCACACTGTCCACCGTTATGTCTCAATGAAGACAACACAAAGTCTTGCTGATGATTATCAGCTGCTGGAAAATGCTTGTGAAAGAATGAGCTGAACTTGAATCCTACTCCAAGAACTGACAGAAGCCAGGAGAACCTTTACAATTATAAGCAAGAAATTCTCTGGACTCTGTTGATGATGCTGAGAAGAACATTGTTGTGCCTACAAATTGAACTCATGATTGAATCAACAAGAAGAGATGAAAACTCTCTACTGGGAGAAGAGTGAGACAATGCTGTAAATAATGTGAGAAATAAACAGGATTGGCAAGGGTGTGTGACTTTTTATGCTGCAAAGGAACTTGGATCATTGGATCTCACAAGGTTACAGAAGCAGTGTTCGCCATTAAGATTTTGAACTGTTACCCTAAATGTGGAAGCTGTCAGTTGAAACTGAGAGGAAATTAAACAAAAATGAAAATAAACATTTAAAATCTGATAATCATAAAGGCAGAAAATGCCAGAAATGAGCAACAGATTTCTTCTCAGCATTTGAAAGAGAAAATAAATTCCCATTTTGGACACTGGTGCTCAGAATTTCAGGAATAAAATGCAACATTTTTGATGGCGGTTAAGAGGGAAAATAAGGTGCAGCAGAAAAAGAAGCAATGAATTGAGTATCACTAGAAATGTAATCTCACCCTCTGGCAAAATACCATATCTGTGCCAGTCCCCTTTAAATAAATGGAATAGATAAATTCTCCAATAAATAAATGAAGTCAATGTCTGAGTCAGGGTGACTAAGACACACACATAGAAACCCAATGCATATGTGCCTCTTACTATCATCAAAGCACCAAGGTGATAGAGGAGAGGAAGCATGGAGCATTCTAGATCCAGTTTGAATATATTTTTCTTCTTAGTCGTCTGCAAATTTCAAGCTATTTTGAGATGGATAAGTCTGATACTCTTGATTTGCTACAAAATCTTTTTGCCTTTCTCCATTTCACTGGCGCTCTCAAATCTGCCATACAGCTGTGCATAATTGGCTGCTGCGTTTCGCCAACAAAATATACAGTCCATTAACTTTACAGTATATTCTGTGAAGCGCTTTGAGACATCTCGAAGATATAAGGTGCTATATCAAATGCAAGGATTATTATCCTACATATTTTTAAACCTCCCTGAAATCCTACTGTGTTGAAATCAACCCTCATTTGTGCCATTCCCTTCTTTAACAACAACAGCAAGAACAAAATTACATTTGTAAAGCGCCTTTCACGTCAGGAGGACTTCCCAAGGCAGTGAAACCAGTTACTCATTCATGAACTAGTTAGACGTTGTGATGAGAAACCTGTGGAATTAGTAGTCTTGAATAAAATCAAATGGGCCAAAGGGCTTTCATTAACACCCCTCTTTTTCTAGAAAAATAATAATAATGCATCTAATAACAATGCATCTAGTCAACTTAAGACGATAAAATGAGACAGAATTTTTTTTCTTGTTCTTATCATAAGTCTCATCTTTATATAAATTATATTTGGGACCCAGTTAACAGAATTACCCAGTCATGAAAAATAATTTTCTTCGAACACAAAGTCACCATCTTCATACAGATTCTATTTATAAGATGAATCACCTTGCAAAATTCTGCCAAGTTTCCTTTATTAAATAAATATTTTTGTGTTCCAATTGTGCAAACTGACGGTGCTTAGACCAAAACACTTACCGTTTCGCAAATGGGACTGTTATCATTTGCATCAAGAACTTTGACTTCCACCACTGCCTTCGCCATTAATGTACCATCTGTAGCTGTAATGTTTAGGAGATAGTGGTCCTTCACCTCTCTATCCAAAGGTTTCTTGACATAGACCTTCCATTCGTTTTGGATGTGCTCAACAGCAAATTGTCCTAGAAGATCTCCTCCTGAAAATGAATTTAATAATAGTATTAAAGAACTGAGCTACATTATCTTATTTATAATCCATGGAGGACTTGGCAATGTGATGACTACAGCAGTGATTATGAAGTTATGTCTACAACTTCATTCAATTGTTCAATCAACTTAATATACACAAAATCAAACAGCGTCAACCTCAGTGAAAAAGTTTCAGCAATGTTTGAAGCTAAATGAAATTATAATTTTTTTATTCTAGGAAATGAGCTTGCTGCAAAATCTTTGTTTTATGTTACAACTTTAAAGCTAAAGCTAATTAGACCATTAGAGTTGATATCTACAGAGAGGGTAAACTGAGCCTTGGAAGTGAGATTTCACTGGGTAGTATTTCATAGCATTCAACTGTTCCTAAATTCCTATGTATTAGAATTAATATAGAGAATCCCAAATGTTGTAAAAAAACGTTTAATACTTGCACTGTGACAAAGTCCTCACCTGTGATATAGCAGGTAACTTGTCTATTGACTTCTTCAGTATCAGCATCAACAGTACTGAGGATAGCAATCACGCCACCAGGTGGGTCATCTTCACTCACAGTCCCCTTATAGATTTCAGCAGTAAAGCGTGGAGGGTTGTCATTCACATCAGTAACAGTAACTTCCACCACAACAGAAGAGGATAATTGGACTTTTTCCCCACGATCAGATGCCACAACCACAACATTGTACTTGTTTATTTTCTCGTGGTCCAACTCTTTTAGACTTGTTATCCAACCTGTTTCACTGTTAATGGTGAAGAGCTCCAGGATATGATCAAGCTCCTGAGATTGAGCCAAGCTGTAAGTCACCAGACCATTGGTTCCAGAATCCAGATCTGTCGCTTTCACCTGGATCACTGTTGTTCCTTCAGGTAGATTTTCTACAATAAAGGCTTTATATGGTTCAGAGTCAAAGATGGGTTTGTTGTCATTTACATCTTTCACTTGGATACTTACATCCACTGAAGTAACCACCTCATAATCTTCAACAGGATACTGAGCCATGACCATGATTTGGTACCATTTAGTTGTTTCATGATCAAGGTTCTTCTCAGTTTTTAATTTCCCAGTGTCCTTCTCTATGGTAAAGATTTCATCCTTGTTACTTTCCAGAGTGTTTCCTTTCACAAGACTGTAGGTCACTTGTTGTTCACTTTCTTGTCTAATCAGATCAATCTCAGTTCCAATACGAATATCTTCAGAGATTGTGTATGTAAAAAGGGACTCTGAGAATTTTGGAACTGGGACTTCAGGTGGGAGTATTCTAACGTAGACGGGGACAACAGACTCCTGCTGTGGGACTCCGCCATCTTTAGCTCGGACAAAGAAACTGTAAAAATTGTTTTCCAGACCAACGAGACTTTCTTTGGTGTTAATGACCCCAGAAAATGAATCAATTTCCAGATTTTCTTCAACATTGTCAGAATCTGCCTCAATAAAATAGACAATGTCTGCATTGCTACCTTCATCAGCATCAGACGCCACAATCTGAATGACTGAAGATCCCTTTGAAGCATATGATCCGATGTTTACCTTATACTCTACAGCTCGGAACTGAGGTATGTTATCGTTTTCATCAGTGAGGATCACATTGATATTGCAGAAAGCCACCTTGCCACCACCATCTTTTGCCATAACAGTGATAGTGATAAGCTTCTCAACTGGGTTTTCACGATCCAATTTCTCTGTAGTAAAAATCTGTCCTTTTTGATCAACAAAAAATTTGGCTTTGGCAAAGTCATTAACAATGGAATATGCAATGTTCCCATACGTCCCAGAGTCTTCATCTGTTGCCTTTACTTTGATCACCAGTGTTCTCAAATTAGAATTTTCTGCTAACTCTACTTCATACTCACTTTGAGGAAAAACAGGTTTATGAAAGTTAGCACTAATAATTGTTATCCGAACCTCAGCTGAACTCCTAAATACACTGTCTGACACAGATACATTGAGGCTGTAAGATGGTTCCAGACTCTGCCTATGCAAGTTTGTCCAGGTAACAATGCCTGACTTACTATCAATTGCAAAATTCATATGATCATTGCCCGACACAATTGAATATCGAAGCTTTTCCGCATCAGAAGCGTCTGCATCAGAAGCCTGGACATGTGTTACAAAGTGTCCGCGAGCTGCAAGCTCACTAACTGAGGCCATGTACAGGAGCTGGCTGAATAGTGGTGGGTTGTCATTCAAATCGGTGATGTGCACAATTACAACAATGTCACTGCTAAGAGCAGGTTTTCCACTATCCAGTGCTCTAACAAGGAGGTTGTACCGTTCAATTTGTTCATAGTCAAGTACTCTTGCTGTCAAAATCAGGCCGCTGCTGCCGTCAATATGAAAGTAATCTGAATTTTTGGTATCATCCTCTACCAACTGGTAGTAAATGACTCTATTCATTCCAGAATCTATATCAGTAGCCGTGACTTGAACAACAGATGTGCCAACCACAGATGCCTCTGACAGAGTTGAAGTGTAGGTTTTTTCTACAAATACTGGAGCATTATCATTCACGTCTTCTACCACAATATCAACAAATACCTCGGAATGAGACCCAGTCAAAGAATCTGTTGCTCTTACAGTCAATTTGTAAGCAGGATGCATTTCAAAATCTAGCGAGCTAATAACATTTATGACACCAGTGTTGAAGTTGATTGTGAACTGACTGAAAGGATCTCCATCCATGATGCTATAAATTACACGAAGACCTTCTGGGCTATTGGCTTGTACATGCACAACAGGGGTGTGCAACTGAATGTTTTCAGGTATCTCAATACTATAAAATGGCTTTTCAAAAATAGGCATGGCTTTGTTTATAACAGTAATTGGTACTTCAACTTCTGCTGAAAGTGGCACCTTCCCTCCATCTTTAGCGACAACGGTAATCATGTGCTCCACATTTGACAGATCTGCATCTAAATTCTTCTTTAGGGATATATCTCCTGATGGTCCGATCTGAAAATGTTCGTGGTGCTCTTTGAGGTAGTAGTGGACTTCGCCATTATTACCAATATCCTTGTCTATGGCAGTGACTTTTCGAATAACATGGCCTTTTTCAGCATCAACCTGGACTACAGCGTAATAAGGCAGGTTGACAAAAATTGGAGCGTTGTCATTGTCATCCTCGACTGTAACCTTCACCACAACGTGAGCAACTCTTGACGGATTTTTTTCTTCACTGACTTCAACTACCACATCATATGCTTCCTGCTCTTCACGATCAAATGGAATGCCCGTCGTGGCAAGAACACCCGAAGTTCGACTAATTTTAAACTTCGTATCAGGATTAAGAATGTTGTAAAATAAGGGCTCATTCATTTCATTTCCTACTGCAGTAATGATGGCTATTGTTTTTATATCTGTGGAGCTCTCTTTTACCACAGCAGAGTATGAGCTCTGTGTGAACTTCAGATGGCTTTCTTTGCTTTCTTTAATATTTATTCTTACTGAAGCTTTGCTTGTAAATTGGCCATCACTAACTCTAACTAAAAGCTCATACCTGCTTCTCAGTTGGGTAGTGTTTTTTACTGAGACAAGTGCTGTCTGAGCATCCAGCATGAACTTCTCCCCTATGTTACCATCAATAATAGAGTAAATAAGTTCAGAGTTTGAACTGGAATCTGCATCTGTGGCATTTAAGACAACCACTTTAACTCCTTTATATGTTGGTATAAGCAGAGATACTTCATATAAATCTTGAACAAACACTGGAGGGCAATCATTTGCGTCAATCACGTGGATGGTAACATTTGCAGCATGTTCCGCAAATAACTGTGGGCTTCCACGGTCATATGCTTGCACAGTGAAATGAAAAATACTGCTCTGTTCATAGTCCAGTTGTGTCACAGCACGAATAGCACCTGTGCTGGAGTCAATGGCAAAATATTTCTGGGCAGATGGTTCAACAATTTGATAAACTAGAAGAGCATTGGATCCTTCATCGGCATCTATGGCTTGAATTACCAGTGGAGTGTTTCTGTCATTCAAAACCATGCTGTTGATATGGGCTGATTCACTGATGATTCCTGTGTACTCAGACTGAGTGAAAACTGGCATATTGTCATTCTCATCTCGAAGGTGTATCAAAACAATCATATTGGCAGATAAGCCAGCCATGTTTGTAGCTTGAATTGTAAGTGTGTATGAAGCCAATTGTTCAATGTCAAGTGCTTTTTGAGTGACTATAACACCTGAGTTAGGGTTGATGTCAAAAGCACCATCTGTGTTTCCATCTTTTATTTCATAAACAATAGATGATTGGCTGGATGCTGTTACTAAAATAACAAAGCTTCCAATTCTAGCCCCTTCACTGATATCTGTAGAGTATTCTTTCAACAGAAACTTGGGTGCTGCATTATCTGAAATAGTCACATAAATGCGGACTATAGTAATAGCACTCATTGGAATCTTCCCTCCATCAGTTGCTTTGACGATCAGTTCATACTGCCTCCGAATACTACGATCCAGAACTTTTGTAACTGTGATGGTTCCCAAAACTGGATCAATGGCAAAACCATTGCCAATATTTCCTGCCAAAAAGAACAAAACAGATGGTTACCAAACTAAATGGGAGTTTAATTACCAAACAAAATATCTAGGCAAATATAATTGTAGAATGAGTAGATCTGTCCAAGAAACATGATTATGTTCTTGTGCTAAAATAAATGAAATATTCATAACAATTTGTGATACTGTACTATGTTCATATTAGTTTTGCCATCTCATTTAGTCAGGCAATAAGAAGGGTTGTGTAGAAATACTTGAACCTATAGAGCTCCTTTATATAGTAGCAGAATTTGCTGTAAGATATTCTTATACATATAACGGATGGCAAAGCAGTGCAAGCTTTCTGAAAGAAATATAGCAATGACACATTTAAGCAATTATATACCACATGAATCTGGCCATCAAAATCATCAGTTGTGAGTTCAAAATACACCTGTGTCATAAAGGCTGCTTTGACCTTTACTGCATTTGAGAAGTAATGAACATCCTGTTCATCCCATTGAAGCCAATTATTTCAAGAACCAGTTCACAGAATTAAGACTTAATTTAATAATCCTCCACAATTCTAAATTAAGATGGTTTTACAGAGTAAAACAAGGCAGAATCTTGGCCTATCATTTTTTCAAAAACAATTACATAATACCAAATGGCTGATAGCACAGCATAAAATGGTTGGAATTAATAATAATAATATTTGCATTTGTACAGTTGATCTCTGGGATTGCTTCAATTAGTGAAAGGTTCTTATACAAATGCAAGTTGTTATTTTTTGCTCTTTAATAGACATTATCAATCTGATGCCTCCAATTAATAACATTGCGGTTGGAGTCACCATGGCACAAGATCTCTCTTTTCAAAGAAAGTACTGATTTATTTTAAGGACACTGAATCTTAAGGTAATGGGACTTTCGCCAAGAAAATATCTTACTTTCTAAACTTTATTTCTCCAATCATGGAAATAGGGATTCAATACAGAGTTTTGAGCAGTCAAATGAAACAAGCTTAATAAGGGTTTGTGGTATCAGCTGCAGAGGAACAGCAGCGAGCAGAATAAATACTACAAGAATTTCAAGTGCACAACTGCAGTGGGGAGAATAACAAGATGGACTGCTCAAAACAGAAAGGATAATTGGATAGCAGGGAACTTTAAATTGCTTGTTTTGGAAACCCAAGAAGCATGTGGCAATGCTTTGGCACCCTATGAGGTTATCATACCATGTATGTTTCTGCATCTGACTGGCATATGATTTAATCAAGTAAACCTATGTCCATACTAGGCTTAAAATGAGCCTGTTCTGGCCCCATAGTCTCAAAGTAGAATAAAAAATAAGGGTCTGGGCCACAGACTTCTCAACATGTGCCATCAATGACCAACACTCTGTGATCACCCAGCTGGAAACAGGGCTCAAATAGGGTGAGCTGTTCAATTTTCCTTCCTCTTAACATGGAACATCTCATCTCCACAGGGTGTTCTGCCCAACAGCCCAGCCAAGAACTAATGGAACTCACCCAAACAAGGCAATACAGCTGGAGTGACTAACAGCCATGGGACTCGTAACTTACAACATTCTGGCTTTAAAGTCAAATGTTCCCTCTGCTTCAGATCAGCTACCTGTGCGGTCAGCATTTTAATCACTTTTTCCTCAGTCACTGTCTACAGAAAGCACCACGAGGAAAGCCCCCCCACCAACCCCCTCCTTAAAACTGTTCCAATTAAAATGAAAAACGGTTACTTAAAGCTTCTAAGGTTGTGTTCTGAATGTTATTAAGTGTGATCTGAAACAAGCCAAATTCCCCATCTGCAAACGTGTAATGGACTTCACAGTCTACAAATCGTATTAATGGCTAGACTATACGCCGTACTTTGGAGCCGTAATTTTAAAACAGCAGCACTATCTAATTGAAACCACAACCGCTTCTTTTTTCTTCCAGACAGTTTTTTCCCCCCTCCACTTAGACACATAAGCAGCAGTATTTTTACTCAAATAATTCAATCTTAATCATCTGAAAATGTTTCATTGCTATTGAAAAGATTCTTACTGAATCTCAATACTTCCCTGTTGGGAGGTTTCTGTATTTTGGAACATTTGTCTTCTATACAAAGTCAAAGCCAGACTGTCTCATTAATACAAGGCCTGAATCATTCCAGACATCTGAAGAAGTTGCATGCCATATGCTCAGTTCAACATTTGATATATTTTCCACCCAAATATGCTCATTGAACATATTCCAGACTGAGATCGATAGATTTTTAAAAACTAAAGGGATTAAGGGATATGGGGATAGGGCAGGTAAATGGAATTAGGTTAGAGGATCAGCCATGATTTTATTAAATGGTGGTGCAGGCTCGAGCGGCCGAATGGCCTACTCCTGCTCCTATTTCTTATGTTCTTATGTAATATCATTGTTGTTGTACATAACACAATACTGGGAAAATAAGAAAAAATGCATCTCAATAGGTTATCAAAAAAATGCCTGAAGGATTTTGAATATACATTTCTTGTGCATCACTGTGCAAACTAATTACTTAAACTCATCAGAACAAAGGGTTCTTAAATAACAAAGAACGATTCATCTGTTGCAGTCATCACTTATTTTTAAGTCAGTTTGGGATTATGCCAATAAGAAGATACTTCAGATTCTTTTCTGTTGCCAATCAGTTTCCATCTTCCCTCGTAAGATAAAGCATATTACTTTGTCCACAGGTGTGAGTTTTGCCTCAGTTGGTCTCACTTCTGGGTCATAAAGTGGTGGACTCAAGCTCTATGTCAGCACTCAAGCTAATAATGTTGACTGACATTCCAGTGCCGCATTAGTAGAGTCCTGTATTACCACAGGTGCTATTTTTCAGATAAGTCATTAAAATAAGGTCCCATCTGCCTGTACAGGTGGACATTAAAGATCCAATGACACTATTTAAAATCACAATAAACTACTTGAAATGAGAAGTGCATTTCTTGCATTTCCCAGGTAATAATCCTCCAGATCATTTAATAATAATAATCCTTGCATTTGATATAGCGCTTTTCATGTCGGGAGGACGTCCCAAAGCGCTTGACAGAACACACTGTAAAGTGAACTGACTGTATATTTGTGGGCGAACGTGGCAGCCAATTGCGCACAGCAATGTCCCACAAACAGTCATACGGATTGAAAATGACCAATTTATTATTGTTTTGTTTTTTTGGAGGGATTATTATTAGGCGTGTGGAGTAAGGAAACTTGCCCAAGGTTTCACCCTGCCTGGAATTGAACCCAGGTGTCTCGCTTGCAAAGCGAGTGCTCTAACCACTGAGCTACAGGACTCCACAATTTGGTTATTCACCTCAGATACTTGTGTATGCTGATAGTGTGGTGTACAAATACAGTCATTATATAATCCATGGAGCATTTTAACATGAGAAGTTGCTATAATTTTTTTAATAAAATGTCTACTAGGCAAATTCTTTCACATTGAAGAAAATGTAATTTAAAATTCAAAGTAAAATCTATGTCAAAGTTATTCTGTGCCCCAATTATACTGCATGTTTTGTATTAATTTGACAGGAGAATTATGCCAAGTTGGCACAAGTAGTAGTATAATTCCTGTGATTGCCAAGTGTGATTGTATTGCCGGATTAACCCACCTTGAGCAGATGATTTTGCCAGGAAATCATACAGTGCAAATCGATTCGGCCTTCCCTCTGAACGATCCCTTGAAAGTTCTTTTTATTAATGGGCTGGCTGTTGTTTGGCCACAGTTAGTGGAGCTCTATGCACATATTTAGCTGTGCACACACAAAGTTCTCCTCAGCCCTACTCAATGCAATTCTGGAGTGGGAACTTTGAACGCTATTTCCCGCTTCTATTCTCTTTACTGTTAGAAGCAATTTGAAATTGCTTCCAGCAGTTTATTTAGTGCATCAGAATGCTCCTGCCTTCTCAGGCTTCTTTGAAGTTTTCAAAAAATTACATCTGACAGCTACAGAGTTAACTACAGCACCATAAATAATAATGAAGTACTATACTGCAATGTCTTTCTGATGTATTTCGCCACATTAATTCAAAAGAGTAGCAACTTTCTGATTGTGGTAAGAAATGAAAACAGCAGCTTCTGATAGCTTATTTTTAGTTTTCATACCTTTTCTACATCAGACAATAAACCACTATTTTTGCCAATTTTCTCCTACAATATTTTCCCTTCATTTCATTTGTATTCTCTTCTAGAATACAGTTTTACAAATGTCAAGTGTACTCCAGTTCTTTTCCCACTTATGGTTGTTATAGCAGCATACCTGATATCTGATTGGGACAAATATCAAAAGGGAGATGGAAGCAGTGAGGCTAATGGGTTAACATACAAAATATAAATACAAACTTCTTCCATCAAGATTGCCATTGTCACTCAAGTATCAGATTGTGACAACCCTTCCTCCTTTTTTTCTGCCTTTCTTTGTCTCTCTCCCTTTCTCTGTCTGTCTCTCTCTCTCTCTGCCCCTCTGATTTACTCAGTTTCTAGCTCTGTAACTGTATTGCTTAAACAGAATCAAACACTGACTCATAAATAACATTAACTTTCTTACTTTCAGATCACTGTAAGCAGAAACAGAATTGATGTTGCTCTGCTTGCAGTATATCTGTGGCATTGCCACTCTATCTGTGACAATCACACCAGTATTCCCATTATCCTAATTACAAAGCATAATTCACAATAAATTGACAACAAATAGAACAAATCCATCTATTTGATCAATGGCGGTGTTCAAAATTTTCCCTCTTCTTCCTGCTTCAAAACAACAACAACAACAACAACAAGATTCCATTTATAGAGCGCCTTTCACGTCAGGAGGACGTCCCAAGGCGCTGCACAGTTGGGTCATGACCCGAGCAGGGGGAAATGGTCAGGGTGAGGGGGGAAGGGAGGGAGAGGAGGGGGGAAATGGTCAGGGTGAGGGGAGGAAGGGAGGGAGCGAGGAGGAGGAAGAGAGTCGAGAGGGGAGCTGAAGGCACGGTCAAAGAGAAAGGTTTTGAGACCGGCCTTGAAGGAGGAAAGGGAGGAAGCAAGGCGAAGGCACTGGGGGATGGAGTTCCAGAGCCTCGGGGCTGAGAGGCTGAAGGCCCGACCACCGATAGTAGGGCGGTTGGGGCGGGGGACGTGGAGCAGACCGGAGCCAGAGGAACGGAGGGTACGGGCAGGTAGGTAGGGGGATAGTAGGTTGGAGAGGTAGGAGGGAGCAAGGCCGTGAATGGCCTTGTAGGTGAGGATGAGGATCTTGAAATCAAACCTGTCTTAAGATTTATCGTTTCTTCCACACTTTCTCACCCCTTCCCCCCGCTCAGGCTTACAATCCACTGCATGAACCACTTTGAGGTGCCCTGGCGTGAAAGATGCTATATAAATAGAAATAATTGTTGTTGTTCCATAATCTATACATATATTTACAGGTGTATGCTGTACCATTGAAGTGATAAATGCTTAAAGAATAAAAGGCAATACTTCAAAAAAAATCAAAGTGATATTCCTACCCAGGATTTAAATTACACTCAATTGCATTTGTGCTGTTAGAACACCACAGTTTAGATAATTACAGCTTGCCATTTTCAGATTAGATGCTTAAAGTTGCCATAATCACCCTGGGACACTACACTGCATGAGGGGTGCTATAAAAATGCAAGCTGTTGTTGTTATTCCGAAACAGAAGAAATTTAGTCACTTGGTAGGTTTAACGCTTGTTACCTACAGTTGTTAGCAATACATCTTCTTTGGGATGTTGAATTTTATAATATTAGTACTTCTTTCTCCAGCCGTGTATCATGAGCAAAATACATTGTTCTTTCTTCACCATCAAGTAATACAATTATTCTAAAAATGAACTCAAGTGATTCACAAATATCAAGCCAACAAAACCAATTGAAAGAAAACATACCCGATTCAATAGTATAAATTATTTCGGCATTTTCTCCTTTATCTTTGTCCAGTGCTGTAACCTGAAGCACTGCTGAACCGATTGCAGCAGATTCATACACACGACCATTGTAAGATGAGCTGGTAAACCAGGGTGCATGGTCATTGGTATCTTCCACATGAACCACAACTCTCAAGTAGTTACGTTTGACAGGGACATCTTGATCTCGGACCTGTGGGGAATTACAAATAAATTAATATAAAGGTCAATTCCCAATATTTAAATTCCAACCTTTCTCTTTTTTCCCCCATTATCCTCTTATTTTTAAAATGTATTTCTTTCCTTCAGCTGCTCCACTTATACCATTCACCTCCCCAATGAGAGAGCCGTTAGATGACTTGCTGTCAGACCTCTGACAACATTGGCTTTGACTTGACTGCTAGGAAATGTATGAAAGCAGGTAGAGGGGACTCGGATGGCAATTACCTCTGCTTTCCCTCAGGTAAGTACCCAGGTGCTTACTATCTTCGCTGATACAGCTAATATCAGCAACTCAATCAAGTGAAGATGCTTAACTGGAAGAGGGCTAATTTCAGTGAGTCAAAAAGGGACCTGGCTAAGGTGGACTGGAAAGAAAGATTAGCAGGTAAAACAGCTAACGAGCAATGGGAAGCCTTCAAGGAGGAGATAATACAGGGACAGAACAAATACATTCCCACAAAGGGGAAAGGTAGGGCATCCAAACCTCCCTGGATGAATAAGGAAATTGGGATTAAAATAAAACAGAAAAAGAAGGCTCATGATAAATATCAGGTCCAAAATACAGAAGGTAATCAAATAGAATATGAAATGTACAGAGGAGAACTGAAAAAGGAAATAAGAGGGGCAAAGAGATTGTATGAGAAAAGATTAGCGGGTAACATAAAATACCTTAGGGTTCCCTTTTATACGTATATAGAGAATAAAAGGTTAATCAAAGGTAGTGTAGGTCCAATTAGGGACCAAAGAGGAAATCTTCTTGTGGAGGCAGAAGGCATGGCTGACGTACTGAATGAGCACTTCGCATCTGTCTTCACAAAAGAAGAGGATGCAGCCAATGCCATAGTATTGGAGGAGAGGGTAGAGAAATTGGATAAGATAAGAATAAACCAAGAGGAGGCACTAAAAAGGTTGTCAGTGCTCAAGGTAGATAAGTCACCCGGTCCAGACGGGATGCATCCTAGGTTATTCAGGGAAGTAAGGGTGGGAAAAACGGAGGCTCTGGGCACAATATTTCAATCTTCCTTGGATACCGGGGCAGTGCCAGAGCATTGGAGGGTTGCAAATGTTACTCCCCTGTACAAAAAGGGGCAGAAGGATAAACCTGGGAAATACAGGCCAGTCAACCTAACGTCAGTATTGGGGAAACTTCTGGAGACTATAATCCGGGACAAAATAAATTTTCTTCTAAAAAAATGTGGGTTAATAAAGGACAGCCAACACAGATTTGTTAAAGGCAAATCACATCTATCAAACCTGATAAGTTTTTGATGACGTAACAGAGAAGGTGGATGAAGGTAGTGCAGTTGATATAGTTTATATGGGTTTTCAAAAGGCGTTTGATAAAGTGCCACATAAGAGACTTGTAAGCAAAATAGAAGCCCATGGTATTAAAGGGACAGTGGCAGCATGGATACAGAACTGTCTGGGAGACAGAAAGCAGAGAGTAGTGGTGAATGGTTGTTTTTATTACTGGAGGGAAGTTTGCAGTGGGGTCCCCAGGGGTCAGTATTGGGACCATTGCTGTTTTTGATCTATATAAATGACCTGGACTTGGGTATAGGGAGTACAATTTTCAAGTTTGCAGATGATACTAAGCTAGGAAAAGTAGTAAACAGTGAGGAGGATAATAGCAGACTGGTAAAATGGGCAGACATGCGGCAGATGAAGTTAAATGCGGAGAAATGTGAAGCGATGCATTTTGGGAGGAAGAATGAGGAGAGACAATATAAGCTGATGGTACAATCTTAAAAGGGGTGAAGGAACAGAGACCTGGGGGTTCATATAAGTAAATCTTTGAAGGTGGCAGGACAGGTTGATAAAGCTGTTAAAAAAGCATACAGGATACTAGGCTTTATAAATAGGGACATAGAATACAAAAGTCAGGAACCTTTATAAAACATTGGTTAGGCCTCAGCTAGAGTATTGTGTTCAGTTCTGGGCACCACATTTTAGGAAGGAACTCAAGGTATTGGAGATGGTGCAAAGGAGATTTACCAGGATGGTACTAGGAATGAGGGACTTCAGTTATCAGGAGAGGCTAGAGAAGCTAAGATTATTCTCCTTGGAGCAGAGAAGGTTAAGATGAGACTTAATAGAAGTTTTCAAAATTAAGAGGGGATTCGATAGGGTGAACAAGGAGAAACTATTTCCACTGGTGGGTGGGTCGGTAACCCGAGGGCACTGATTTAAGATAGTTGTTAAAAGAAGCAGAGGGGAGGTGAGGAGAAGTTTTTTTTACTATATGAACACAGTGAGTTGTTCGGATCTGGAATGCATTGCCTGAAAGGGAAGCCGATTCGATAACAGCTTTTAAGAGAGGAGGACAAGTTAGCAGGGCTATGGGGAGAGAGTGGGGGATTGGGATTGAATTGGATAGGTCTTTTCAAAGAGCCGGCACAGACATGATGGACCTAATGGCCTCCTTCTGTGCTGTATAATTCTATGATTCTATGTGGTGGGTGATAAACCAAGTCAAACTGATCTAATGTTACAGCACGCTCTCACCTCTTAAAACTGGGTCTGTGCATCGATAGTTTCTAAAACGTTAGCAATACTGCACCTGAAAATCACCAACATTTAACGGACTCACTTAGAGATGCTAAAAGAATAACTGATAAAATCAAATGAGCATATTGCATTTGTGTACTCAAATCCTTCTGTGTTGGCGTTGACGTACATTGTTATTGGCAGATTCAAGTGAAATTTGCCTACGACTGAGTTATGCTGCATTTAATTTGGGAACACATGGTACTTGCAAGCAATGCTGTAGGTAGACATAAATGTTCCCAACCCCTTTAGTGCTATGCTCATTTTGATAAAGACCACAATTTTTCTTTTTTAGAAAAGAGCCTGATGCCAGGAAACAAGCATTATTTCGGCAACATAATCAAAGGCATTGATCACAATGAAAGCTGCAATGAATTAAGAAAACTTCAACCACTTTCATTAAATGGCTTTTTAACTCACCATCACTGTAAGGACATGCTGATGCATGGTCTCATGGTCCAATCTTTCTACAGTGTAGAGAGCCCCAGTGCCAGGGTCCAATCTAAACTTTTTTAGGCTACTAGGATCTGTGCTACTTTGCAGAGTGTAGATCATTTTGTTCTTTGCATCCTTGTCAGTGGCACTAACTTGCAAGATTTTGGTGTTCGGCATTGCATCCTCTGGAACATTCACTTCGTATTTTGGTTTTAAAAATGCTGGTCGGTGGTCATTTGTATCAATGACTTTAATGTGAACCTGAAATCAAGTGAAATTGTACATTTGTCAGCTAGAATTGCACCTCTCTGTAACATGTTTATCATAAATAACAATAATACTTGCATTTGATAGAACACCTTGCACATCAAGATGATGCTTCAAAACATTTCACAGGATTCATTGCACAATGCAGTGACTGTGTATTTTGTAGGCAAATTTTAAGACTGACCCCCCCACCCCCCCCATAGGAAAATGGCAATTCATATCATCGATAGATGTAGCTTTCATCGTTTCAATTTTATAGCCATTTGAGTGATACAGCTATTTAATATTAATATGAATTCTATACTTTGCAAAAGAATGTGCACCTTTCTCCTACTTTCTTTTGTTTCCTCTATTTATTTCCTCTTCCATACTTAGAAACTCCCCCCTCCCTCTTTAAAAACAAGGTCAGTATCACCTAACCCGTTCTTTTACTTTCCTTCTTCGACCTTAGTGGTAATGGTACTATGCTTCCTTTTAACAAAAAGTGCTAACTATTATTGCAGAACTATAAGGTGCTGAAAGGGTACTGGCTAATTGAATGTTTTTTTCAAATGAGTAAATCAACGTATCTATACCAAACCAAATACTGAAAGTCAGTGTGTCACAGTGACTGAATTACCAATTTTCAGTTCAAGTAGCTTCATTTATTTTTCTGTTTTCTGGGAAATGTTCATAAGCAACATTCATGCATTCACCGCTTTTCTCAAATCAATAGGAGGAATCTAAAATATTATTATTCAAAAGATTCCTCATATTCAGATGACTACTCCCCAGCAGTTCAAGAACTTTAGAAAACACAAGCTGCCTGTTCTCACTGTCGTTCCAGCAACTCCTACTGCTGAGGACAGATGTGGTGCTGACTATAATTTACTTTTTAAAAGCCCTTGTCTGTTCATCCAACCATTCAGAAGATGAAAAGAGTCTCGCATATCACTGAAAATCACCATGACATCATGTATGACCTTGTTAAAATTACTTCATTCATTAAGCATTTGAGGAATGAGTATTTTTCAAGATTTATGTAGTTCTAGCTTCTGAATTCATAGAGTGAATTATTCTTACACTGTACATACATGGGCCTGAGGATGCCAGTGTCAGTAAGGTAAATTAACAATAACATTTCATTATTTTTGCCACTGTCACACCTCCCAATTACAGGGTCAATCCAAATTTATTTTAAAACTCTTAAATGGCACTGCACAGGTCCACACTGAACATCCATGGTTCAGTTTTGAATCTGACAAACCTGAAGAACCTGTTTTCTGGCTTCTTTCACCCCATAATAATAATAATAATCCTTGCATTTGATATAGCGCTTTTCACGTCGGGAGGACGTCCCAAAGTGCTTCACGGAACACACTGTAAAGTGAATTGACTGTATATTTGTGGGCGAACATGGCAGCCAATTGCGTACAGCAGTGTCCCACAAACAGTCGTAGATTGAAAATGACCAATTTAATTATTGTTTTTGGAGGGATTATTATTAGGCGTGTGGAGTAAGGAAACTTGCCCAAGGTTTCGCCCTGCCTGGAATTGAACTCAGGTCTCTCGACAGTCGTGGATTGAAGTGAATAATTTATTATTATTTTTTTGAATAGATTATTACCCCTGGAAAAGCAATCCACCTCTTTCCACGTCACTAGGTGCATTTAATTTTGGGTCCGTACTCTGGTCTGGCTGTTAAAGTGGAGCCAGCACAGTCTGTTCTAGTGCCACACCTTGACAAAGTCGCAATGTAGTGGTTTTTGAATTGCAGTGATACATTATGAATTTGGTACTAAATTTGTAGAGTTACTAGAGTAAATCTGGCACAAGAATCATAAAGAACTCTCATTTCATCCAGTATAAACAATGGTGGAAAAATTGCTCTTAAAAATAGTTCCCCTCCTGGAACCATGAATTCAAACAAGATATCCCATAACAGGTAACTAATACTGTATTTTTGTTCTACAATTAAACTCTTAGCTGCCGGTACAAGAGGTTGAGGAGCACACTGATTGATACCTCATTAAATAACACTGTAATATTATAACTAATGGAAATTCATTCCTTGGTTTATGTAGCTTCTCAGAAATAAGGGCTCTATTAACAACAACCTGCACTTAAATAGTGCCGTTCATTTAGAATCAATATCTCAAACTCTTAATAAAACAAGGAGCACTGAGAAAGGAGAAGGAAGGGAAAATTAAACATATTGACCCAAAGGATAGGCTAAAAGATGTTTTTTTCCGGAAGGTTTTGAATACATGCAGACAGCAAGTGAGAAAAGTTTCAGAAGATACTTCAGGAGCAGAGTAGCTGAAGGCTCAGCACCTTTAATGAGACAGAAAAAGTAAGAAATGAGCAAAGTTCCAGAATCTGAAGTATCAGTGGTTCTGGTAACATAATAGGGCTTGTAAGCGTTCTGAGACGCCTCCCGGCATGGAAGATGCTATATAAATGCAGGTTGTTGTTGGAGGAGATGGAATAGGCATAGAGTGGCGAGACTGAGAGTAAAAGACGTGTAGAAACTGGTGCAGCAGAAAATATGGGTTAAGGAGTATTTGGATGATGATGTTGTTTGGATGATCCTTTTGAAAATAATTTTTGAATTTTGTTTTTAAAGGTTCAGCAAACACAAGGACCTGTATGTACTTCACCATCTATATTCAGATTCATAAGTGACAATTAGGAACATAGCAGTGCTTTGCACTTTACACTTTAAAACAGCATTCTGACACAAACTACAACCAATTAAGTGGCATTCTAGTTAAATTATCATATGTTCCATGTCTAATCAAGTACACTCTCACTATTTAAGTGAAAGCTTAATGAAAATTGCACAAGACTTTTATGCACAGAAGATAAAGCCCGTAGCTTAAGTTGAATGTTTTGTTAGCATTGTGTGCCGAGAGATTTGAAGTAGAATCAGGGTGATGGGAAGCAAAGTTTGTTTTTAATGTTCAATAATATTGTGTTGTCAGTTTTGAGAGAGGGAATCGGAGCCAGGACTCAGGAGCCAACGTCTGAGGACCAATGGGAATCAGGATGAGGAGGACTCTACCCAAAGGGAGGCTTGGGACCTGCTATTCCTCTCCCCAAAACTGCCAATGCCAATTTGGTAGCTAAGCAGATTTCGTTTCTCTATTTGTGAATGTATCCAGCCTCTGAACCCACATCCTGACTCTACATTTGCACAACACATTTTAATACCAGTGCACCAGCAGGTCTTTAGAATTCTCCAGGATCTACCCTGCGTGAAGGGTGCTACATAAATGCAAATTGTTGTTGTTGTTTAATTACTGAGATACTACTTCTAAATATCGGTAGCATAAGCATTTCTTGCAATTGATGACAAATCTTATATTAAGGGGATATAGTCTCTCATAATGAACATACTATGCAAGGCAACAAATAATCACTGCAAAATGTTGACCACCATTTCGCTGCTGTTTCTCGGCTACAGCAATTTATTTGTAGTGCTGCTTTATGTGACTGGACATGAAGCATTATTGACAGCCCTGAGACTTATTTATTCCCACTTCACATTTATAAAATTTAAAACTAAACAGTCTGTGTTTCTACTGCTAGAACTATTGCCAGACAAAGTCCAGAAGGCACAAATTACGAAACACCTCTTTAGACATTATTGATCCAAAGCCATTATCCAAATCTTAAAAAAAAATTAACATTGCAATCTTAAAGAAGAAAAAAAAACATCAACTGCTTTAAGTATTACTAATCAGTATTGTTCGAGTTTATTGCCGATACTGAAAATAAAGACTACCCGATTCATTAGAAATTTTCTGTCATTAATAGATGATTTATGAACTTGCACAACATAATTTCCAAGTAATTTGGTGTGCATTTTTTCAAGTAATTAAGCTTGTCATTTTAAGACTATTACTTCAGATGTCTGCCAAGCCAAAGCCAAGCACAAATACTATAGAATTACCTTTGGAATAGAGGTTTGGAACTTCTCATTGGTTTAGCCTAAAGACCATCTGGATTTTCTGAACTTCTTAAAACTATGGCCTTTTGGGCTTTCATATATTCTTTTCTATTTCGCTAAAATTATTAAGTTGTGTAAGTACATCCATGCATTCTTATTCAAATGCATGTTAAAGATCCCATAGCAATATTCAAAAAGAGAGGAGTTTCTCCCAGAGTTTGGACAACAGTGCTCCAGATAAAATTAGTCATTCACCTCATGGCTGTTTGTGGTACATTGCTGTGCGCAAATTGGCCGACTATTTTGTCTGCAAAATAGTCTCTACACTTTACAGTGAAGCACTCTTAAGATATCCTGATGTAAAAGGTGCTAGATAGCAAATGCCAGATTTATATTAAATACAAGGATTATATTGTTTCAAACATGAAGAAACAACAATTGGCAAAGAAAACAGATGGTTGAAATATTAAGTTGTTCTATGCTGAGACAACTTTGAATAAGTACTTTTGCATTTGATATAACATCTGTCTAAGGTGAATTATGGAAATGTGGCTTGGGGCCAGTTTGTGCATATATTTTAAGTGCATATGCAAGCTTAAACCTCAAGGATCCTAATTAAGTTTAATGTATCTCCCTCATTGCCATTTCTTAAAATTCATGCAAAGCACTTTTCCTCGTGTCTCTTGTTCAATTATTTAAAAATATATTGCCTCGTTGTCGACCTGTCAGTCAGGGTAAGAAGATAGCCCATGAGAGCACTGGAATCCAACAATAAGAGGGGCAATATTAGATAAAAGGAAGTGGGATTGCCTTAGTGAAACGTATTTACAGAATAATTATAAATATTGTATAGATAACAAGAATTAAGAAGAACACAAAAATACAAAGTACCTTGATGTTCTGGGAATCCTTCACCTTAGATTTTGTTTTTATATATATTTTAAATGGGTTCTGCATCAACACTGGTTACCTTGTTGACACAGAAGGCCCGATTCCCCCATTCTTCCATGTGATGGCATTTGCTTCAAGGTTAGTGATTGTAACATTTTTATTGCAAATTAATGGGGAAACCTGCAGCCAGTATATCGTATTACCATAACGCAAACTTAATGCTCTTCACAGCAACTCAAAACATGCTGACAAGGCTGAATATGTTGCTGCTCTAGGTGAAGCTCAATTAGCTCTTAAAGTGCTCTAATTGCTACTCTGTGACCTAATATTTAAAACAGTTTATGCCATTCAGGATGTGTCTAAATTATGCTCATTTATCATATTTACATTGACTCAAAGAACAGAAAACTCAAACATCTGTAGAATTTAAAACTAATCATCGAATGAGGTGGAATGTTGTGGTGTTTCTACCAGTTAATATTTTAATACACTAGACATTTTCCAAATAAATGTTAATCTTGGATTTCAATATCAATTCAGACTAAATGATAACCATCCTAACATTTGGTACAGTGCCTTTCATAAAGTATGCCTCAAAGCACTTTACACGACAGTCTAAAGTGTAGTGACTGTTATTTGTTGGCAAATGTGGCAGCCAATTTGTACCCAGCAATATCCTACAAAAAGGCATGAAGTGAATGACCAATTTTATTTGGGGGATTGTTGGCCGGGACACCAGGAGCAACTCCTTTCTCTTTTCAAATTGTACTATGTGAAATGGCAGACGGGACATCAATTTAATGTTTCATCCAAAAAGCAGTACCTCCAACAATCCAGCACTGCAGTGTCAACCTAGATTATGAGTTTCAATTCCTGATTTGAGGCTTGAATGCACAACCTTCTGACTCAGAAGCGAGCGCTACAAACTGAATCAGACTGATGCACTCAATTGACTCAAAGAAGGATACATTGGTATTATAATTTTTGGTCAGTTTTTATGTTTGGATCGGATATGGATTTATCTGAAATCTTCTGCAACAGTAAATTGTTCCTCATTATAGTTTTTTCTGCCCTCTTTTTCTCTTTCCTTTGAAAGCTTTACATTTTGTGGCTCATGATAAATTTTGGGGGTGTGGGGGAATTGCAAGGCTATGGGGAGAGAGTGGGGGAGTGGGTTTAATTTGGATAGCTCTTTCAAAGAGCCGGCAGGGGCACGATAGGCCGAATGGCCTCATTGTGTGTTGTATAATTCTATGATTTTATGAGATGCATAGCACAGTTTGCTATTGAAACTGTTCAACAGTAATAAGCTTAAACCACTCTCTAAAAAAAAATCTTCTAATATTAATGGCGAAAATGAATGACTGCAAATGTTCTCCCTGGATCAATCTTTTCATCAGGAATTCAATTACCTGAGTGCTGATAGTCTTTGTTCCATCTGTTGCCTCCACTGTCATGTTGTAATACGATTTCTGTTCTGCATCAAGTGGTCTCGCGACAATGATGGTTCCACTACCCTTGTCCACATCAAATCGGCTGTCATAGTTGCCACCTGGATTAAATAATATGAATAGTTATAAAATCAGTAGATTCTGCTCAGCTATCTGATCGCATGCAAATAAACTATTTACTCCCCTGTTTCATTAACAAGAGTTGCAAGTATACAATTTAAGCCATGTAATGAGGGCATTCATTCAACAGTGGCTAAAACTTCTATTGATTCTCAAACCATATTAAAATCAGTCTGATGTTGTGGTTGTGTGTTTAACAGGGAACTTTTGAGAAATGGGAGGTATGTTAACACCTGGCTTCAACTACGTTAGTACCACAGAAGGTGCTATCTGTGTTAGATTTGTATTCAAAATAATTTTATAATCCTTCTCCTATTTATTTTTGTTTAACAGTATTAAAATTTTCAGCAATTATTGACAACGCCTATTCCTTATTTTTTTAAAAAAGTTAAATGCAAAGTGTGTTATAATATACACAGCAAATAGAAACATATTTAGTGAGATTGAAAATAATTTGTTGATTTTTGCTTATGGCCCCCACTCCTGACACACACACATATGTATGCTCTACGGATGCTTTAGGCAGCAGGAGATGGGGATCTTAGTTACATACTTCTCCATATGCATAGCCATTGTTGAACAATAAACCTGGAATAGGAGATGTCATTTAAGTAAGGTAAGTTCAACAAGGTTGGCTTTTCATGCCATTTAGTGAAACTTACTTTTCAGAGCCAAGCAAATTCAAGCATCAGCCAATCTGGAACCAACAGTTGCAGACAGAAGGCTGCAACTGAAGGGTTCAGTTATAAGCTACCAGACACCCATTACATTACCTTCAATTTGAACTTCATTTTAAAAATCTCTAACAATGATTTATGAACCCTTTGAACCACTTGAACACCTATAACATCACATTTTTGATTAGGCGAGGAAGGAAGCAAATTAAATTTCAAGAAATGAAAAGCAGACAAAAAACAAACAACTGAAGGGAAGGACAAAACAAGGAAATGGTGATTTGTGGAAACTAGTAGTTGCATACAGTGTGGATCTCAAAGTTACACTCCATCAGTAACAGAACCAAAGAATGATCTACAATGCGCTTGTAGCAAAATAAACATATAGTGATTTTTTTGCCAAAGAGGCTTCCATTGTAGACGAGTGGCAAAAAAAATCTACTCTTACTAATTGACATGTAATGGACCCCATTATGAGGTCAGGAAGCCGTGGTTTTGTAGCACGAAATCGATTCTGAGGTAAGTGAGAAAATATGCATGCAATAATTATGTTGAGTCTGAGATGACTGTTCCATGCTCACAGATGGCTTGTTAAAATTTCTGAGAAACACATGCAGAACACTGGTGCTGTATATGGAAATAGGACTGCCAAATATATGGGAGCAGAACTTGAGGATCAACAGACTACAAGAACCCCAAGGAATAAATGACAATGTCTAATTTTAAGTATTCAACTTGGAAAATATCCTTAAATTTTTAAGAATAATGAATAGTGATCAATCACTTCCAGTGCGAGAGCAAATCAAAGTGGGAACCAGATTTATAGTTCCCTCTCTTCATAACTATTACAGGCTGGTGACTTGGGCGCAACTGATAATATGCTGTTGCAACTAAGAGTATGTCCAGAGCTTAGTTTATCTTATCTTCAGATGCCCTTTTGTACCTCTACCAAATAGCCATGTAATGTGTGAGTTCAAACAGTGAGTGTTATCAGCCTATTTGATTGGGGGGGTGCGGGGTGGGGGGGGGTGGAGAGGAGAAGAATCACAGATGATCCCAATCTTGTTCTTACAATATTCAAACATGCTTGCTTTCAAGCGACTAGCAAGAGGAACCCAAGACCTCACAGTCCTGAAACTTCTAATCCGAGATCAACTAGCCTGAAACAGTCCAGAATCAAACTTAGGGCTTTCTGGTGTGTGGCCTCATTACGTAAAGCCGGTTAAAATGCTGCCTTTACCAAATAAGCCAGTCAAATCCTTGAATATTAAATGCTTTTCATAAATGTTTTTTTGTACACAGTTATGAAAAACAATTTTTCAGGCATGCTAACCAAAATGTAACTATCTAATGTATTTGTAATGTCTTTTGTATGTTCTACTGAATATCTCTGGTCAGACTGGCACTCTCTAGTTTGTCCTCACTATTGGGCACCTATGATCAGTCACGCACTGTATAAAATATTTTTCGTAACTCAATGTTTCAACACATTTTGGGAAAAGCTCTTTACATAGCCAAGAATCACAAGATTTATATTCCGTATACTGAAACAAATCAAATGGTGCATTAGCAATTGCTGTGACAATCGCTCTCAAGGCCAGGACAATTCTAAAAAAACTAATTTCACCATTTATTTACACTGCTGTAATTTTTGATTGTTTAGTTTGGGCCATTAATTTAATGATCAACTTAAAAAACATGCATATTGTTTCACTGTATTTTTTAAGCAATACAGAGTGACACTTAAATATCCCATGCACTTATAAATGAACTGGAAATGTATTATTTTTGCAGCTTTTACTTTCACTATGAACCTTCCTGTTTAACAGTGGTGTTTTGCTATTAAAGAGGCCAAAAGCCGTTTGTTCACTCATTTGACATTAATACTGTTAACTACATGCAGTTGACAACATATACATTTTCCGAGACTTTACCCACTGCATTATTTTGGAAAAACCTGAAGCTGGCTATTTAGACTGGTGTTTACACCCAAAATTAGAATTGAGCATGTAAATACTTCAGACTATTCTTTTGCATTACTACTTTACAAATAATAAATTATATGAGAAGGTTCAATGTGAAATCAATAGTTTGGTTTCAACACAGAACTCAGAAAACACAATCATTTCAATCAATTTGGAAAGAAATTAATTCTGCTTTTCCAAAATTTTCAGTTACACAACAAAACAAAATGAATTCAATGCATTTAGTAAAAGAAAAGCCAGCTGCAAGCTAGGAACAAGCTAATCAACTGCAGTCACACTGAAAGCAGAAACTCATTAGGTATTAATAATTATTTCCATCTTCACATTTGTTATTTTAAATGAGATATTTAATCAGTATCTTAAAATTACAATTACTCTGTATCACTGAGAGGTGGTGATCTAAACATCTGGTTTGGGGTTACACTGAACACTTAAATCTTAATACTTCCCTTGCCAAGACCCTATAAATTTTAAATTTTTACCCTTTTTCCCCAGAAAAAGTTTGAGGCTTGTGTATGATGGATTAAAGTCCAAGAAACCTGTTAGGTGGCATTGCCTCACGGTTCTCACCTCCTCCACCTACCCAACCTCCCCCTAAAAGTCTCAGAACCCGTACGTAACCTAGGCGTTAGGTTCGACCCCCAATTACCCTTCCTCCCCCATATCCGGTCCCTCATCAGCACCACGTTCTTCCACCTCTGATGCATCGCCTGTCTCTGCCAATACCTCTCTCCGAAAGCCACTGAAACCCTGGTCCATGCCTTAGTCACCTCTCGGCTGGACTATTCAAACGCCCTCCTCGCCACAGCCCCTCCACTACCATCCATAAAATCCAGATTATACAAAACTCAGCCACCCGCATTCTCACCCGCACCAAACTCTGCTCTCCGATTACCCCAGTCCTTGCCAGACTGCCCTGGCTGCCTGTCCCAGAGAAGATCGACTTCAAGATCTTCACCCTTGTTTTCAAATCCCTCCACTCCTCTGCACCTCTCCACCTCCACCTTCCACCTCTCTGACCTCCTCTTCCCTCAAAACAGTGCCCGTTGCCTTTGTTCCTCCGGGTCTGGCCCCCTGCTTGTCCCTGAGTCCTCCACTCCACTCTTGGCAGCCATGCCTTCAGCCACTATACTCGCTTCCTCACTCCCTTCGCCTCGCCCCTTCTCTTCCTATTTTCAGGTCTCTGCTGAAGACCTTTCTTTTCGACCGTGCCTTTGGTCACCTTCCTCCCCCTTCCCCTGGCTCGGCCCTGGGATCCGCTACTGTGAAGCGCTCTGAGATGCCGTCCGGTTTGGAGGGCGCTATATAAATCCAATTTGTTGTTGTTGTCGTCAATCGCTTTGAGTCGTCCTCCCAACATAAAAGGTGCAATATAAATGTCAATTGTAAAAATTGTTCTGTACAGGTCTGTCGTACGTGTGGAAATGAATCAGGAATAAGTTACAGATACACTCCTCGGTGTGAGAATGTATCACTCACAAATTTCTGCTTCAGTAGTTTTTAAGCGTTCCAAGACCCTACTATGAATGCAAGGTGTTGTTAAGTTAGCACTCTAGTCAATGGCTGAATTCCACACAACAATGGTCTGACTGTTTTCTTATGTGTTAAAAAGAAATCAGGAAGGAGGCGTTCAAAAGCTTATCAATTTCCACTGATATATTTTTTAAATAAAATGTTTGTTTTGCTTTCAGTTGCTGTCCAATTCTATTACATTTCTAACAGAATCACTATCAGTGATGCCGAGTATGAAATGGAATGAAACAAGTTTATTGGAGGGTGGGGGGGGAATGTGGTAATGAAGGTTTTCATAAAAGCAGAACAACTCCCACTTGGTTACCTGGCTACTAATACAGTGTGCACGTAGTTTGCTATTTGCCTGAGCCATAATTAAGTCTAACAAATAAAATAGTTAAACTCATGTAAATCAGACCTAAAATATAAAATAAGTAACTGCACAATTATTAATAGTGAAAGTGATCAACATTGTGCTGGATTAAACATAAAAGAATGAAAAATTAATGCAAGATATGGGAAAAATATAAAAATGTATATTATTCTAACTTGCACACTTAAAACCAGTTTTATATAAATACATATGGTATAGTACATACTGTATGGGCACACATTTTTACGGGAGGGAATACATTTCTTGAAAGGTTTGTGAACAAGACACAAAACAAAAAAGCTAGTTAGCAGATCTCATAATGTAGTACAAAAGTATAATTATGAGATGGCAGCAGATACCTTCTGCTGTACAGTTCAGGTCACAAGCCATCTGAAAGATATAAAACCATTCTCTAGCTTGTTTGCCTCCTTGCAGAGCCAGAAGCACAGTTGAAGACAGAAAAGGCAGCAAGGATAGAAAAAAAAGGAAATTAGATAAGTTAATGAATTTCCAGTTAAAAGTTCAATACAATGCAGATAGATTAATGCAATCCATGATTTCCTAATTTATGCAAACTATGCCTCACAAAGATTAATAACAACATGAGAAATAGGTTTACACTGAATAAATAGATCGACAAGATTAGTGTTTTTAAGAAAGCATAATTAAAACACTGAAAATTAATTTAATTAAATGTACCCATGGCAATAATTCAATGGCTGTTAAAAGAATTCTAAGATGCCAAATAGATATGTTTTGGATTTTTGAACTGATTTATTTCATTCTCTGCATGTTTTAGTTTGAACTATCTTTATATCTGGCAACTCTTCCAAGATTCAAGCCTGAAGTCAGTAACATAATACGGTGAAAACCTGGCCGAATGAGATACTTTGCAGGCAAGAAGCTTTTTAGTGAACTGTGATCTCATTTGTCTCTATCATCGTTGCCTGTAGAAACAAGTTTACTGATAGACTTGTTCAGTTTTCAAAAAGGGCAGCTGATTTGAACATAAACCCAGAAGAGTGATCGTTTTTCACAAGAAACAAACTGCAAACTCAGAATTGCCCCAGAAAGTGTGAGGAGGAAATGAGCTTGTAGATTTGAAGCATGCACATTCAGTAAAATTCAGTGTGTCATTCCCTGACTGTTCCAGCTGGACACGAACATTTAAAAAAAACTGTTAAAACAAACATACGTAAATACTTCTCATCTTCAACTTTTTTTTTACAAAAGAAAGTGAGCTTGTGATATTTACCCAAGCATTACTAAGGAGTGTTATTGTTGGAAATGGGGTGATTCAATCAATGTGCTGGCAGTTTTGGGGGTCAGATCCTCACCGTCTGTGAATATTCTGGGGCAGTAATTTTTCTAGTCTATAAGATCTTTCGTCCAACGTTTGCTCATATTTCTAACTCTAACTTTAACTGTCTCTATGCTGAGGTTGACATGTTCTGTTGTGTGTGCAGTGATTATCCACTCATTCATCAAGTGAAGTTCTACACTGATACCTTTGTTTTATAATTGGATTTTTGATATAGCGCCTCATCACATCTTCTGTTTGTCAGGCACAACAGTGCAGCCCCGTGACTCAGAGAAAATGCCAACTTTCTACTTATGTACCAATGCTTGTAGAATGCAACATGATTTTAAAAAAAACTGCAAACTTAATTTTTTTTGAAAAATGAAACCCAGTAAAAGTGTTACCCAGGCCAACTCAATGCTACTGCAAAGAAAATCACATTTAAAGGTCCAATAGGAAAGTGTTTCATAGTCAATACCATTAAATGTTACTGGAGAGACATGTCTTCCTTACCAGTGATATCAAACCAAAGTGCAGTGTCAGTAGGTTCAACAGCAATTACGCCAACCATATGAGTAACTGGGTCACTCTCCATGACACTAAAGGAAAACAAAGATTCTTCAAAAACCAAGGGCACCGATGATGGCTTGGGTCTGGTGATCCATTCAATGTGCAGTCGGGTGGTAGACAATTTCTGAGGGCGTCCATTATCCACAGCTTTTATCTGCAAATTAAAATGATGACTTTAACTAAAAACTTTCCATGAATAATGCAGTTCATCATTTACAAATGAATAGTACAATCTATTTCTCTCGTTATATTCTCCAAGAAAAAAGGGAAGCAAACCATTTCCGAGGCCTTTACCAAATCTATTCCTGGATAGAAAGTGTAGAAAAAGGCCAGTGCACCATGGTATAGGACAACTTCAGTTTTTTTCTTCTCCGAGGGTGTGTTTTGCGTCTGCTCAGCGCATTCTCCAAATGGACTGGCTCTTCATGCATAAAAGGCCACCTAATGCCTGTTTCAACAGTAACTTCTGATCTGAACCATATCAGATGATCGCTGTCCAACCTTGTAGTCTTTGCACAACCTTAAATCAGTTGCACATATTTTGCTTCTATGGTTTCTTTGATCATTAAGAGCCATTAATATTGGATTATATTTAAAGTTATGGTGTTTCAGTTAGCTGTTGAGCAGGTCTAATTTACTTTTTAAACTAATAACACATTCATACTTCTGCATATACACAAACAGGTGTACTCACTGAAAGAATATCGTATTCTCCTGCTGCACAAAACTTCTTGGATGAAACGACTCCAGTTTTAGGCTCAATGAAGAACTTGCCCTGCTCATCTCCCTCTTCAATGCTGTATGATATCTCTGCATTTGCACCCTCATCTTTATCAGCAGCAATCACCCTGAAGATGGGTTCCCTTTTGATGGATTTTTCTCGTTCTGGTTTTTCTCGCTCTGGAAGTTTGATTTTGTAGAACTTCTGCAAGAACTGGGGTTTGTTGTCATTTTCATCCAGAACCTTCACTATCACTCTCGCAATGGTGGATTTCGGGCTCTTGCCGTTGTCTGTGATTGTTATCTGTGGTGATCACAGAAACAGAATTTAAACATTAGTTAGAAAATCACATTCTAACCCACATCTTCCAAAAGAAATCACAAGATTTCTATCTCAGAAGCAAATGAAACATGGTTTTCTTATTTTTATTTCACTTGCCAGAGTTCCTTACTTAATCTGAGTGTCAGTCATTCTCTCCTTAACCCTCAACCCCCATCCCAACTCTGGTGCCTCAGAAAGAATCCAGTCTCCTCATGGGACAATGTTCTCTCCTCCAAAGCAGTAAGGCTATAAAGTGAAATGAACCTTGACCAAGTTCCTACTACATTCTGGATGGACCACAGCATAACATATCTATAGTTCAGAAGTTATCAGTTATCCTAGAGAAAATGATGGGTGTGGATCATGATGGAAATAGGAAAAGTTCACACTGTCACAATAGGGAATGAGCAATTGTTGGTCAGAGTAAAGTGGAATTCACCCTTCAAGTGGCTGTTGTTAATATCTGACCTTGATGTTAACAATGAAAATAATTCCATTCCTAAACTGATATGTATATTGGTCAAGCGCAAAGTTAAACGCTCCGAGATGTCGTCCGGTGTGAAGGACGCTATATAAATGCAAGTCGTTGTTGATAAAAACCTCCACAAAAAGTATAATATCTTGGTTAGACCACACTTAGAATATTGTGTGCAGTTCTGGTCCCCACATTATAGAAGGGATGTAGAGGCACTGGAGAGGATACAAAGAAGATTCACAAGGATGATCCTATACCTATCAGGAAAGGCTGAACATGCTTGGACTCTTTTCTCTTGAAAAGAGGAGGGAGGGTAAGAGGTTACTTGTGAGGTCTTTAAAATGATGAAAGGTTTTGATAGGGTAGACATAGGGAAGATGTTTCCACTTGTGGGGGAGACCAAAACCAGGGGCCTTCAATATGAAATAGTCACAAATGGGGAATTTAGAAGAAATTTCTTCACACAGAGGAATGTGGAACATGCTACCACAAGGAGTTGTTGAGGCAAATAGCTTGGATGTATTTAAGGGAAAGCTAGATAGGTACATGAGGGAGAAAGGAATAGAAGGTTAGGCTTGAAGGCTCAGTTGAGGAAGAGCAGGAGGAGGGTCATGTGGAGCATAAACACCGGCATAGACGAGTTGGGCCGTATGGCCTGTTTCTGTGCTATATATTCTAATGTAATGTATCATTTTAATAATATTGACAGTTTGCACAGTTCATAGGCCTGAAGCATTTTTCTCCACTGGCTAAGTAGTGATCTTTTGCTCTTGAACAAGTTGTACTGCTTATCACAAAGTATGCTATCTTCCAATAACAAATGATATTATCATGGCCAGTCTGGATTCACTGTTGTACCTAGACATTACAAAAGCATACCACACGCAAGTATTATGAAACAACTATGCTAGCACTTTCACTTCTCATTTAGCCTAGCACAACTTCTTAAATATCTGAACATACAGTACCATGTTATTTTCCGATTAAATTGTTTGCTCGCATCAGAAAGCAGCTACTTTGTCTGCTGATTCACTCAGTCTCCAGAGCATGCACACTCAATCTTACTGTAGCCAGACAATTAACAAAGCTTACCATGAACTTTAAAATGGTGATATAAATGAGTCAGAATTAATTCCCATAGATTTTATATTTCAGTTTAAATTGTCTTAACATTTCCAACCTGCTTTCACTCGTAATTATGCCTTTCATTAATACTGCAGTAACAACACATGGTGGTCTGAATAGATTACCACCAGTCAGCGGTGAGCATCATCAAAAGCTCTTTGCTCAGAAGAGTTATTTCATGTTGAGCAAGCTTATATGAAAATACTGTAGGTCTCATTTGGCAAAATTGTTTAACACTACAGAGAGGCAACTCTTAAATGAACCAATCTTGATGCTGTCCACAAGCAAGTGGATTTCTACATTTTATGCTCAAATAACCAAAGTCAGTGATTCCAACTGGTGGGGAATTGTTCAAGGAGATTCCTTGCACCTCAACTCTGTTTAATGAAATTGTTAAAAGAATCTTCCTTAGAGGTAATGGTACCACTCTGTACACATTTAATCCACCTGTCAGCCGTTTCTGTGCACTCTATGCTCTGAATTACCTAAGAGTTTCATACATTTTTATTCCCAGATACAAAGGCATTCAGTGCAATTATGCAATGCACAATAAAACGGAGACTTTTCTTTTCTCTTTATTCCCTCACCTCACTCACACCACTTCCCCCGCAAGCCAAATGTTCCATTTGTTTTATTAAACTCCTGTGGAAAGTATTTTTCTTAACAGTGGGAAACTGCTGAATCAGATGTTCAAGTAAAGTGATCGACTTCTGGATTGACACGACTCACCACAGTCATGCTGCACACCTAAGTCACACTGGTTATCAAAAAAAAATTTGCACAACACTCAAAGGCTTACAAGCACATTTAGTCAATGCACATTTAATTTGTTATTTTATTGAAGCACAGCATTTATCTCATGGTAACTGCAATATTATTCTATGATTTTTTCATCAATAGTGTTTAAATATTCCCCCAGACCACTAAAGGCTCCAGGAGAGAACAAAATTACCTGAACCATTCTTCAAAATATCAGGTTTCAAGCATTTGTCCATTACCATTTGACTCTGCAAATACTGCGCCTAATGTCATTTGGTTAACAATGCACCAGCATTAACAGTGAAAGCATCTCCATTAGGTAAAAAGTTATACAGCAGACACCATTGTGCTGGTGAAGAAGTGTCTTTCCTGTTAACACAAAGGATCTTTACACTGGTCTCTTCCTTCCTGAAATTACAAGGTATTATCAGGTAAAAGTGACTGCAGTGAGAAAGACAGCTAGGTCTGCAACAACAAAACCAGGCCCTAGCAACACACCGGTTATCAGTTTATGAATATGCAAGGCTCAAAACATAAAGGAAACATAAGATGCATTGAAGTTGATAATTTAAAGTACTATCTACAAGCTCTAGCTGACAAAGAACAAGCCAGTGTATAGGCTTAAAGAAAGGAGACAAAAAGAAGCCTTTACAGTAATTTAAACCTTGTCACAGATATCTAGAGAAAAAAAATTAAAGATATAAATAGATAAATAATATCCACAGGGGTCTAAATTTGCTATATTTATGGAGCATTTTAGAGTACCAAGAATTTGGCAAATACTTAAATACAGCCTTCATTCTCAACAGGGTTTTATGTAAGTTCTTTTAAGAACCACAAAAAACAGACTTTAAAGCTAAAACTGAATTCAACATTTTGACTAATTCTGGGTGTTCTGAAATGATACAGAGTAAAAATAGAACCAAGTGGAATTTCTCTTCACTAGTATTGTTACACTTGTTTTTGTTTAATTCACATTTTTCACCGCTTTTGTTTTGGTAAACCAGTGTCTGATACATGCCAAAAATCTATACTAATAATAATCGGTGCAGTTGATATAGTGCCTTTCAGGTCACTAATCTATGAAGCTTCATACAATCTTACTGTAAGGAGTGATGACAGTATTTTGAAGGTAAACCAAGTCTCCAAGGCAAACTGCTGACAGTTGCACATTAGAATGGTTTCTGTTTGCTTGGTATGGAATGAGCACGCTTTCCTTTGTGGGATATACCTTATTTGCCTAATCCTGGAGAATTTAGGCACAGCTTGGCAGGGGCCGAGGCCCGAGGATCCTAGAGTAAGCATTGAAATACCACTGGAGTTTCACCAGCTAAAATGGTACATCTTGTCACTGCTTGCAAAGGAGCCAAGCAGATGATACTTTAATCATATCACAAATTCCAGGTCTCTTTTCCACACAATCCCAATTACTCTCACTTACTCACGTTCCATTAACATTTGAGGGAGAGAAGGACTGACGATGCACATCAATGCTGAATTCTACCTGCTAATTGTCAAGTGTATCAAACACTACACATGAGACTCCTCTGGTAGAGTCAGAGAGCAGGATTATGCCCACAAATACACAGTCAATTCACTTTATAGTCTATTCTGTGAAGCGCTTTGAGACGTCTAGAAGACGTGAAAAGCGCTATATCAAATGCAAGGATTATTAATGCAATAAAACTTACATAAATTTAATCTGCATAAATCATATAATTGCCTAAGTAGTACATCTGTCCAAGTCCTGTTGAATGTCCTATAAGTTATGCAAGTTTCACATAATTCATACTTTGAATGTCATATTAAATGTTTTGTCCCAACTGATACAACTTACGTGAGGTTTACTGTACCTTGAAAATGAGAGAAAAACATAAAAGGTACAATCAAATTTAAAATCCATGAACATGAACCCATGAGGCAAAATAAAGTTTAAAAAAGAATATTAACTCTCCCTGTCTAACAACTGTTCGTCTGGAAACTAAAATGCTTAAAATGTCTTGAAATGGATTAACACCTCAACCATTATGTATTCCAAAATATGTGAAAGCAATATTCCAATCCATCACTCCCAGCAGTGGATTTATTTGTAGTTTTGTGGAGTAATGAATGATCCGTTTACCACTTGTACAATGGATGACTTGGCCATCCAAAGCCAAAGAAAGCAAGCTTTATTCAAGGTAATGAATTTCCTGTCTAATCATGCACATTTCATATGGTGCCCTGCACTCAGCTATCATATGGACAATTTGAAGAATACAATGGTGCATAGAGCCACCGGGTCTCTCAAATATTTGAGTCAAGAGAAAAACCAAACCGAACACTCTTACGAATCAACCCAAACCCTGCAACGCACTCAAGTGTTTAACACCAGCAGTATTTCCTGATGCATGAAGTGATCTCATCTAAACAAAATATTAACCTCTCAGGAGCCATAGTGGCGTAACTAGACACACTTATAATGGAAGTAAACAGATTCTCATATTTTCTTAAAAGAACATTCAATGATAAGGTTTTATTCCAGTTTATCCTTACCACAGAAGAACTCTTAAATGCATTTCAATGGTGTTTAATTATAAGATGTTTTTGTTGTAACATGGGATCTCTTAAAAGTCAGGTTGGAATTTTCCTTTGTACTAAAAAAAATTACCAATTGATAAGTCATTCTGGTCACTGCCATTTTCACTGCCATTTATGCTGAAAATATATGCTCTTTCTCACTAATCACCTGCAAATATTGTTCCCTCTTCCCCCCACTGGCAGCTAAATTCCTAATTTATCCATCCCCTCACTTTGTCACGCATCAAAAGTTTCATGATCCAGGCTCACAACAAATACAATGTTTTACAAAATATTTACTCAACTATACTAATGTCTATAAGCTTCAACCCTATTTCCATGTCTTTTGATGACTTTACATAGCATGAAGTGCAGGTAAGTCAATTTCTTAATTTAAAACAGCCTTTGAAGCTTTCCCAAATAGCTCCTCAAGTTCATTCAAGTGAGAGCCTTGGTCATTTAGTTCAAGCTTCGAGCCCTGGTCTGTGCTCAGTTGCACCAGAGGCTTTATAAATGATTTAAAGCCCCAGGTTAGCAATGGAAAAATTAGCAAGGATTCCTGCTCCCTATCCGTATACAAAACCCATGTTACTGGTGCCTATGTGTGAACACCAGGCAACGGGAGAATCATACTCAAGCTGTGGTGCTTTCAGCAGTCGAATACGCTGCCGGTATTCATTACAAAGTCTCACACATGAATAATAACCATTTAAGTAAGGTAATGGAGTGTCAGCTGCTCTTGAAACTATGCCTCAGTGGAAGAGAAAAGGGGAAAAAATGCAATATAAAGGAACTAATGCAACACTGTAATGCTACCATTTTCAATTTTGCAAGGTATGGGTGAACATTTGTATTGCATAACAGAATGTTAACATATTTTACATGTTGTTTTATTTTTTGATAGATTTTGTTGGATACTCATTAAGACAATAAGGACCAATTGACTAGGACCAATGGAAGGGGATCAGGAGGTAGAAAAGCAGGAAGCATGGAGAACTGGATAAAGGGTTTTTGGTTAAACTGTTTGATATTGTAACTGGTGAGCTGAAATAAAAGAGTGTTCTACACATTGTTTGTTGAGAACATAACAGATTTCTGAATAGATTAAGCAATTACTTGAATGACACCTTAGCGCCTGCAACAACCAACAGTCTGTCACTTTTAGATCAGCTCACAGAACTGGTCTGTAACTAATCAGAGAGAAGAGTCAAGCTGTCTGTTCACATCAAAATAAAGCACAAGAATGGGTAAAATAACTACACCTAGAAAAGAGTAAACCTACTTAATTTTGTTGAGAATTTAATTGAAAGGATCATGCCCAATGCACTACACACCACCAAGGCTGAAACAATGCAATTCAATTTACATTTATATAGATATTTAAATACATTTCACATTGGGAGGACGTCTCACAGCACTTCACAGTGTTCGATGAGCAACTGAGCTGGCTGTAGGAGCCAAGGGGTGTGGGGAAAGGTGACAGAAACTGTGCTCAAAGAGGTACATTTTCAGACGTGCTTTGAAAGAGAGGAGGGAGAGAGCAAGTCGGAGGGTGGAATTCCAGAAAGCGGAGGCAGAATGGCTGAAACCTCACTGAAATAAAATAAAGAAATAAAGTGACAAATAATGGAACATTCTGGTTTTGAATGCCTGTAGATTGTAGGAAGACAAGACCGAGGAAGGCAAGGATCTTGAATCTTGACGTTCTTGAGAAGTCTTCAGAAGAAGTTAAAGGTTTGAGACAAACAATAATTTTTTAGTTCAATTTAACAACAATGCAACAAGATTCAAGACCATATGCAGTGGTACAGTTCAAGCTGGGAAAAATAACAAAGAAAATAGGGAAAATAACAACATAAAAATCATCGACCGTAATGGAATGGATAAAAGAGGTACAGATTGTGACGGATTGAGAGAGGATAAAGCTACCAGAGGTGAGTAAATGATGTCTTATCTTGTATTCCACCCATGGATGAAAAAGAATGCTTGCTGGAAGGAGTTTCTCTATGTTGTGGAGCAATATTCAAGCACCAGACAAATTGGGACTTGATACAGAGTTAAGAATTATTGAGGGAAAATATATACATTTGACTTGAAAAAGGAAATCGATCCTTGGTTGCTTTAACAATTCACACTTGGAATCATAATCCACATTGACACTTGACATTGACAGTATTGTCAGAGTGCTGGATTGTGGGAAATATCCTTTGGGTAAGTCATAAAGTTATCTCATCTGGTAGTCCAGTCTGCCTTTCCAGGCAAATGTTAAAGCTCCCATAGCATTACTTCACAAAGAGCAAGGAGTTCTCCCTATCTTGATTAATATTCCTCATTTCATCCAAATTCGCCAAAACTACATAGGTGAATTGGTTATTTTTTCACTGCTGTAAATTGGATATTGTCAGCTGAGATTCGCTGCCATGTTTGCATAAATAACAATCACTACTCTTCAAATGTAACTCAATTTTCAGAAGCACTTTGAGATCTTTCAACAAATCATATGCAAATGTTATTTATTATTATATTTCGGATCAGAGGTTGGAGTGAAACTAAGAATGTTGATGAATGAAGAATTAAGATTGATCATCAGATAAATAAAGTAAAAAAAAGTACACTGAAAGAAGATGTGGGCGTCAGTTGTTGGTTAAACTTGCAAGAGACGAAATAAATTCCACTCTTCAAGGAATTGAACGAAACGTGATTGATGTTCCCCTATCAATTTGGGAAGAAATCAGATAGCCACAAACATAAATTGGATAGAAGGTCATAAGATAGGGTCTGTTTGAAAATGCATTGTGCCACACCCTGTCAAAAGATTTTGGAGATCTAAGAGAAAAATGTAAGTGGAGATTACAGTACTGAGTCGGGATTCAATAAAAGGGTCAAACTGTAGGTTACTTACCCAATTGACTGTTTTATTCAGAATTGCTCACTCCACAAAACTCACTAAACAAAGGTCAGTTCTGCTCAAACATAGATCTATTTCCTTTTACTGATAAACAATACAGTAGAGAACTGATTTTCCGCACTAATTGAGCTACGCCCCTATGTGAATTCAGTGTGGATAACTGATTCTTATGCAAAAATACAAATTGGCTACAGTGCTAATCAAAAAATGGTTCCATCGGGAGTTTCACAGTACCGTCACCTTAGTACCACTGTGCAAATCCGTCTCTCGCTCTTCTGAGTCTCTTCCCACTCTGTTTGCCTATCTCTCTGTCTCTGTCTTTCTCTCTGAGTTCTTATCCACAATACATGACATTCCATTATTGTTTCAGGCCCAGTCCATCAGATGTTCATTTAAAGAGCCCAGTACAAAAATGGTTAAAATCAACGACAAGAGACTAGACCATGAAAGTCTTGATAATACAGATGGATTATTAGAGTCTAATTATGACCATGAAGCATCGTTATTGTGAAATATTTTATCATATACAGAATACCTTTCTTGTCTCATTTTCTCTCAAAATTTGAGCTTTATTCAATATCTCTTACAAGGTCAGCCTTGTTTAACCCTGGAAATCCTTCATACACTTCTGCCTCTAGCCATTTTCAGAAGCACTGAATAAAGCAGATGTAGTAGAATGGTAAATTGAGACATTGTTCATGATCCCTTTTCAGACTGATTGTAAGGAACAGCTATTTTTCTTGTAGCTGAGTATTTTGTGGTAGATTATAAAGATGACTTCAGCTCTACACACACCTCTGACATATCTGCTTCCATTGGTACTCTTGCGGGTATTTTGAAAAATTGTTCCAAGTTCGGCCTCTCTAATGTGTATTCATAAAAAATAAAGTACTCTTACATATGCGTTCTTCTGAACGAATTAATGTCGCTAATGAATGACTGATACAGTTTGTAAATTACTAGGATGCACAAACAAAACTGTCCAATATATAAAACCCTCCAAATCTGATTGACATAAACTCATTGGAAATTAAGCAAAATAAATATCCAGAAAAATAATTATCCTATATTTCTCATATCACCATGTTAATTTACGTAATCTAGGTTTCTTGATCGAAAACCAAGGAAGCAAATAGCCTGCACTCACCTCAAGGATGTGTTCTGCTTGCTGCTCTCGGTCTAGTTTTCGTGAAGTTGTTGTAATTAACCCTGGAAATGCAAATAAATTTGTTATTGAATCTGTAGAAAGACCTGTATGGGCTTAGTTTCATGCAATGTAAATTCAATAAAAAGCACTGATTGCAGAACACAAATGTTTCAAATTAACTTGACACAGTTTCGGGTTCAGAAAATTTCTACACAAATTGAATTCAAGGAAGCCTAAACAAATGTAAAATAAATTATTAAAAAACTTGCATTTTGCACATAGCAATGTTCCACAAGCAGCCATGAAGTGAAAGTCTGATTTGGCGATTGTTCACCAGGACACCAGGAACAAATTCTCTTTTCTTTTTGGATAGTGTCATGGGATCTTTACCTTGAACGGTCAGATGTTGGTTTAACATCTAATCCTAAGGAGGCAACATTTCAGCACTGCATTGGAGTGTCAGTGTAGACTATATGAGTTCGAAGCCCTGAAATGTGGCTTGAATACACACTCTTCTGACTCAGAGGCATGATGTAAAGAGGAGAGCACAATAACAGAATGATGAAGTGGCATCAAAACTATCTGAGCACTCCGGATCAGCAGCTTATTAATAATGTCATTGTCATTTGAGTACTTGGGCAGGGTGAAAGCTTAGGCAAGTTTGCTTACTCCACACACACTCCTCTGTTCACCTAGCAGTAAGTAGGAACCGTTTGTTAGTCGATTGGTAGATCACTTTCTGGGGGTAATAAACCCTTAAAAATATGGTCACTCAATCCACGGCTGTTTGTGGGACACTGCTATCTGCAATTGACTGTCATGTTTTGCACACAAAATACAGACTCATTGCACTTTACAATATATTCTGTGAAGCACTTTGAGACGTCTCGAAGACATGATAAGGCGATATATCAAATGCAAGAATTATTATTATTACTGAGCTACATTGGCTACAAAACTCACATATCCAGGCACTCAAAAGCCATGCATCAGTATATAGATTTCATACATTGAATAGGGAATTTGAGTCTGTCCTAAACCATCCTTGACAGCACGAGCATAAATCCACTCCAAACGAGTATAAAATGGCTGCAGAAATATTTCTTATGACTGGCTCCACTTTAGTAATGACTGTCAAATATTCAGAAATGTAATAGAATTTGAGCATTCTGAATACCATATGTAACAATGTGACAGCCCTACAATGAAGTAACATGATCATTATGGTAAGCAAATACAAATATACACAATTTCAATTATGATTTTAAGTTACAAATACAATTGTATTCAATTTTGTGCACGATTCTTTTCTTTGCAAGTTATTTCATGCGCTGCCTAATAGCCCTGAATGGAATACACTGGCACCGGTTTAGGAACCACTAATCTATGGCTTTACATACCACAGGAGCAAAACTAAATTTGGCCTTTGGGAGGTCTGGGAACCGAAGGGGCCCATTTGGGGAGAAATCACTGATCTGGATTAGTTTATACAAGAAAAAATTCTTGTTGAGAAGCCAGAATTCAGTCCAAAAGCAGAAGATAGTGTCACTTTTGCAGTAGAGTTAAGAGATGACTTGGTGACTTGATGAGCTGCACTGATGAGGTTGTTGAGGATTGTTGCACGTCTGGTTAAATTTTGACCTACACAGCAATTGAAAAACATATTTCATCTTCTGTTTGTCTGGCAGCTCATGGATTAACTGAAATTCTTGCATTTTTAATGTTATGTTGCAGCATTTTCAATAAGCTCTAAGCAGAAAGTCTTTCCTTTATGCAACTGCAACTTCAGAGATAAAAGTGACCACACATTTACTCCTTTTAAAAAATGACAACCACAAAAATTGTACTTAGCAATATCCCTGAAAATAACTCAAAAGTAGCTTTCCCTAACAGGCAACATTTCATTAAAAAGGCCAGCAAAATGTTAGTAATCTGGCAGTCTAGCAACACGGATTTCTGAAGAGTCACAGGAAAGAATACCGCTTCAATAGGATATGGTTCTTAAGAGAATTGAAGGGCTGGTGGCAATTGTAATAGCAATCTTGGACTTGCATACTAGTCCATTTATTGTTGTTATTATCTTTTCAACTTAACGTTCTAACTTTTTTCTAAAATAAGCATTTTTGTACGATTTTGACTATGGGTAAGGGGCCTCAGCCAATTGGGAAGATCCAGTAGCATTTTGAAGCGATACATGTATTGCAATTTGAAATTGAGTCAATGAGTTTTGTAGCGTTTTGATTTCATACAACATAGACTCGATTATGTATGTAATCTTCTTACGGACGACTCTGTGTATGAAAACTATTTCACGCAACTCAGTGTACAATCATAAAACATTCACAGTTCTGTCGCAGCAACACATCATGCGGTCTGATTGGTAGTCTGCACATAGTCATGACAGAAACATCCCAAATTTAATCTTCACTGGCACCACTGAATAAGCTATCACATGGGAATTCACATTTCTACCTCAGTACATACGCTAAAAAGCCATACAGTTCAACTAAATTCCACATCATGTTCCAAAACTTAAGTGGTATTGTAGCAAATGTTGTCTGCCTGTTGAAATTGTTTTTTGCCGTAATACCTGGCTTGTAACAAGCTCAGCAAACTGCTGTGCACAATTGGCTACCGTGTTTTGTCCACGAAATATAGTGATTTAACTTTACAGTTTGTTCTGTGAAGCGCTTTGAGTCGTCTTAATGACGTGATAAGGTGCTAAATCAAATATAAGGATTATTATTATCATAACATGTATCGCAGCTTTTGATTACAGTACAGCAGGATACTTGGCCATCTTATCTGTTCTGGTGTTAGCTCCCCACTGGAGCCATCTGTTCTAATCTTTCCTCAGACCCCTTCACATTATTTTTCTCAACTATTTATTCAATTTTTTTTAAATGCTCAACTTCAACAGCCAATTGCGGTAAGGTGTTCCACACTCCGTGTGAAAAAAATCTTCTAATGTGACCACTAAATATTGAGTTGTGGGAAATATTTTGTATGTACATATAACGTTTAAGAGTCATCCACTAGAAAATTGCATTCACATTCTCAAAGATCAGTATGGTACATTTATTCTAAATGTTTATGATTGTAATATATCCTCTTCCATTCTACAGGTTATTATTTTTGAAAATTGTTTTATTTTGATGTTTCATTCTGAAGAGAGCACCTCTACAACCCAGTTGAATCAGCTGGTTTAGGTGCCGTAACAAATACAGCAGTGAACCTATCACACCCAAATTCATTTCACATACCACCTTGCAAGTGTGTTCAGACTGCAAATGGCACATTTTATTCAAAATTACTGTATTAAGTGGTAGCTGATTCCCAAATAGAAGTTTCCACTTGCCAAATTCTGTACAATTGCAACATTACAAAATTATACCACTCAAACTGCCACAATGAATCCTGCATATAACAGCTGCTTTAAGTTTCAAACAAGACATAAAATTAGCGAGACTAATAAATAGAAAATCACATTATCCAACAAATATCTTATTAACCAATTAAGCCTCACATTACAGCAAAAAATCTCTCAGAGGAAAATAGTGTCATCCTGATGCTCAACTAGAATGTATAGGTACAATAAACGTGACCAACAGCAACTCATACATGCCACTGTGTGAAAAAAAAGCATTGAAATGATGACCTCTTAATGTAGATGTGGAAATCTCCTGAGAGTAGGAGCATGTGTGAAAATCACAGTTGTATAAATAGGTTCTGTGTTCAACAAACTCCTGCATTTACAGCTGCCCGCAATTAGCTCTCGATGTAATCAATCAACCAGCTATTTATTTACATGAAACGTCACTATCTGTCTGAGGCAGGAATACTACTGTGTATTAAGACTGGCTGTTAAAGAGACTGGGATTTGTTCATCGGCATAAAAACATACAGAAAACAGGAAACCTAGATGACTACATACTGAATGCTAAAAGAAATAATGTAGTTAGATTAGTAAAGCATTGCGAAGCAAAGCAAATTAATGCATCCATTTGGAATTTACCTTTATAAACACAAAGAAAACCTTACATCAAGCAAAATACTGCATATGTATGTATCTCTTTAAAACTGCAAATAGCTAGATTGACACATATGCAAAAGAATCAATTTGTTCCCCTGAATTGGTAATGATGTAGCCATGCTAGTTTAGTTGCCCGCACGGATGAAATACAATACAATGTGAGTGCATACTGGAAACGGCAATAACCAGATCATGCTGGATATGCACTGCTAGTTGATCAGTATCAGGAGAGGTTAGGTTAATGTTTGAATGTGATGATGAACCTATCTTTCTTGTTTCAGTTATTTGCACTTTTCATTACAGAAGCATGGAAATATTATTTGTTGTTGCTGAAACCTTCAAATATGACTCCCTAACTGCTCCCCCCCCCTTCCTATTGTTGGTCAGGTTTAAAATAGTATTATGGGAAAGCAGGAGTCATTTTTGAGTTGAATGCCAACACCTTCTAGCCACAATTCAGAAATTAATGACTCTTGGTTGCACCACAAGTCAGCTTATGTGAAACTGAGAACAGTGTTGCATTGTTACACTGAATTATTTTTTTCTTTTAAAAAACATGTAATAAAGCAGCTTCTACAACAGACTACTACATTCACTTCCCCCCAAATCTAAGCTTTCCAATTTTTTTTGTCCACCTTCACAGGACTTCTTACTCCCTACCTGCTTAAGTCTTTGATAAGTTTTACCAGAAACACTCATTTGATTACATAAGTAAATCTTCACTTTAAAACATAATGGAGTCGAAATTTCACCCGGGTTTAGATTTACTCTATTTTCATACCATAGAGAACACAGCAGACAAGCTATGCACATGTGCAATGAAAACAACCACATTCTCACTATAAAGAAGTGTGTTATAAAAGGGTTGCATTAAACACTCTTAATTTTGTAGCTGTTTTGGTAAGTTCTTTTAAGAAAAACTACTTTAAAGCTAAGACTGACTTCAACAATTGCCAATTTTTGAATGATCTGAAATGCTAGATCTAGGTGGAATTTTTCGCCAATAAAATCCTAAAATGTAGTCTTTTT